GGAAAAAAAATCGGGCCGGAAAGCTTCCTCCCCTATGTGAGGCTGCAATCTTCGAGAGATCGGAGGAGATTCTCCCCCGTCGTCGTCTCACCTCTCTCGATCTTTCTTCTGTTCTTTCTTATGGATTTCTGTACTTCCGACGAAATGAAATAACTGATTTATATATAATAAGAGTCGAGATATACGCCGGAGCCGAAGCTTCTTCCTGTTTAATTTCCAAGCTATGGAACACAAAAAAAGAACTCGATCTCTCCTTTCCGATGAATTCCCGAGTCGATTGATCTCATCTTGTCTGAAAAAAAAAAACATTACAAACGAAACAGAAACGAGATTATAGTTAACACCTGGTATCGAAAAGGTTAATCGTTGTCGCCCGCAAATTTTCATATTTCCACGTGGTAATAATTCCTCGATAAATCTAACGCTATCCTTCCTGGGACTTCCCGCATTACATTCTCATCAGGGTCGGACGAACCCCACGTGTCGTCACCATCACTCTAAATGTAATTCTATTTTTACATTGAACATTTTTACATTCGAAAAAGAAACTGAACCATTTATCCGCGGACAGAAGAAAGGCGATGGTTTGCTTAACTCCCAACAAGTGTCTCGTGAGGTCTGTTGGACCCCGTTTGCGGCTAGGAAGGATGAAACGAATTATTCACACACACATACACACACATATACACATACGCACACCTGTGATGAGAGAGGTACGATAATACATGCTCAGCTATTTAGCGACAAATTCTGATAATGAATGAACTCGATATTAAAATTCCCAATGAAGTGTAGCATTTTGCTTACGTGCAAGATTACATAATAAGAGAAGAAATATCTAAAAGATAAAAAAATATTTAATCGCGGCAGATACTAATATCAAGTTCACTTCAATCTAAATTCTCGATCGATCGAAAAAATCGATCGTCCCCTTTAAGAATAAATAAAATCCGTTTAATGTTCTCTTAACATTTCCTGCAAAAATATTAACAGCACCTGGAGATTCGGGGAACCCAACGGGTGTTTTGTTCATTTCTCCCTGGATTGGAAGTATCCTTTCGTGAGTGACAACTCCTCATGGTGTACACATCAAGAGGTGCACACAACGTATCACACACATCAAGTAGTCTGCTGGAACAGTGTGCGAATGACAGAGGAGAGCGTGAGAACGTGTGCGTGACGTGTGTGTTATGTATTTAAGAGATTTGTAGAGAGAGACGGTGGTTATAAATGTGAAAAAGGAAAAAAAGTGCTCAATCGGATGTTCAAACGCGGCCGTCGATGATCAAGTCGACCGCGAGAGAGAGAGAGAAAGGGGGGGGGGGCAACAAGCGCATCAAGACGCGATGTACTGATCGGGCAACATTCAGATTAACTTGCGACTTATAACTATATAATTATAAAAGTTATAAAGCTATAAAATTATAACTATAAAATAGTTGATTGAACTATGTGCATTAATTGTACATACAAAACTCATACAATTGTCACCTGTGTTGTTATATTTTTCTCCTAGTGGAGGCACGTCCGCACAACAAGCGTCGCAAAAATTCGAGACTAGCACGAAACGTCTCACGTCTCGTTAGCGTCGCCGTTTCCACGTTCGTCGATTATCCCGATACAGGCTCGAATTTTGTAAATTAACGGATAAGGGGAGAGACGGCCACATTAACGGTGAAGTGAAGTGAGTGTGCCGTGGCGTATTATTATTACATTAACATTACGTTCGTACATGATAACTGAGAATACGATTTAAGAGGACACATTTGCATTATATAGTCTTAGATTTTGTATAATATTAAACACACACACACACACATACACACGGAGGAAGAGAAAGGAGAGCGGGGAATCAATCCGGGGGACGGATCGCACGAGGAGATTAATATGTGTCCTGCGCGTAACATATAAGTGTACTGATGAAAGGACGATCGAGATCGAGAACGGAGAAGGTGCCCACCAGGCCTGAATATACGCACATCCACGACAGAGGATTTCTCCTCGAGGAAGTCTGTCCTCTCGGACGGCCCGTCGCGTCCGCCGGAAGCCTGCGAGACACGGCGCTCGTATTTGAATCATTCTTTTGTATTGAAAAAGTTGTAAAGCGATATCGGTACGTACAGTGCACTCGATGTGAAAGGAAATACATGACACAATAACGATGTGAAAGGAAATACATGACACAATAACGAACCGTACATCTCTCTCTCTCTCTCTCTCTCTCTTTCTTTTTCTCTTTCTTTCTCTCTCGTCTTCTCGTCCTAATATTCTCGTCTCTCCTAATCAAATTCCTCGTTCAGCGAAAAAATCATTAATGCCCTCACGAAATTTATCTCTGTTGATTTGATACATCCTGTATAATTGAGAAATTTTCTCCCGAGTATATATAATCAGACAAACAAAAGATGAGGATATCCAATCAAGACAAACAAAAGAGCCAATAAAAGTATATGAATTTTATAGTGCGATAAAAACAAGTGAAATTAATCTTTCATATTAACCCAAAATTGCCTCCAATTAAGTTCTGACGAGGGTCCGACTTAAGACCAAAACGTCTGGACAAATAGATGAACATTCAAATTTCCAAACAATTCAAAGTTGGTTCAAATTTAATTGTTTATTTATTCGACGTTTTTCGGTCCTAAGTCGGACTTTCATCATTTTAATTTGAACTAATTTTGGAATAACACGAAAGATTAATTTTGCTTATTTTTGTTGCACTACAAAGTGCAAAGAATATTAATAAATTACAATACAATAATTGTAATCCGTAATTTTGTCTGACAAACGACACGTTTATATTTTAGAAGTCTACATTAAATTAGAAAAAAATTATTTTCTTCTGTTTTAAATATTTCCTTTCTCCATGTAAATTTCTAGAATGGAGACCTACTATTTTTCAAGCAGAAAATAATAATATCCTTGCTGGGAATATGCCACTTATAAAATACAATACTTTACTTCAGCAGGGTCTTAACGGATGACCTTCTAACGGTCGTACATATCGTTACTGATAATTAAGCAACGGTTCACTGCCTGCAATAAAGGCATCGTGCGTAGCCCCTTATTTAAGAGGATCGCAGTTACCCGCACGATATTTCCAGGAACCTTATTCGAGGGACTCCGCAGCCTGCAAATAAAATCAAATTTGCATAAACAATTTTTTAGTTCACGCACTTCGAATAACGGATAAAGCAGTAGGAAATTTAATGTGGCGATCTGAATAATCCCTGAAAAACTGATTAATCTCTATAAGCGCGTAATATTATTTAATATTAGGTAATATTCTAGGTATATTCTTAGAATATTAGATATAATATTCATATAATATTCTAGGAATATTACGCGCTTATAAGGTTATTATTATTATTATTATTATTAATATATCGAAATTATTTCGAAGCCTTTCCATTGACCACGATAATCACAAAGAAACCGTTCTAATTTCCATTCACCCGATATAGCGAAGTGCAACTTCGACACGGCCGATGAAGATTCGTTGAGCGAATCGGGTTAACTTCCGACACACATTCTGAAATTCCGAAAGTAAATTTGTCCCGTTCGCTCGCGTTGGAACGAGATTGATAAGAACATTAAGAGAGTCCTTCCCCTTTTCGGCGAAATTTAATGAATTCCCCTTCCTCCTCTCCGACGGCTTTGTAAATGTATCAAAGTCAACGAACAAATACATTTGCATGACGATAATATAGATTTTACAGAAAAAAGAATTACGCACTGTTCGATGATGATTGTTGAAAGTGGACCGTCATGGATCATACAATTTAGGTCTTGGGTTTCGAGTACATCCGTTACATTACCCACACGTTACATCGTGCCGAATAAAATACTAGTCTGATGACATCGGAATACGATACCGCTCACAAATAGGTCGACATGGGCGAAGGAAATGTCATTTCCAGGGAAAAATAATTATATATGATTATATATAATTATATAAAATCATATATGAATTTTGCCCATATATGTGGTGTCACATATGTATGATCATATATGTTCATACGAAAAAATCATGTTATGTCATTTAATTAAATGTCGAGATCATGTGCTGTCAGAAGTACAAGTAGCCGGAAATAATATTTCGTTGCATTTATATGCAACTAATAAGTTGCATTCGAACAAATGGAGAATTTATTTTGCTATAAAATTTCCTTGTGTTAAATTTTATGTAATATAATTATGAAGAAAATTGTTTATTATTGTTTAAAGAATATTGTTGCAACTGTTGCAACTGAGTTGACTAATGTACGAAAGACATTCACAATGGATTTAATTATTTCAGACTAACTCCCTTTCTCTCTCTCTCTCTCTCTTTTGGTCAAATTGCTATGATTACTTTAACAGAACGCGAAACATCCGTGAAGTATCCATATTCGATCGCGCAATCACATGGCGGGAATTCGCCGAATATATGGTGGGGAATATGTGTACCGGTAAAGGAAGGTAATTCAGTCCATTCACGGTAGTATCTCGGCAAACCCGCTTGACGATCTACCTCGATCGGGCACGGGAGTTTTCCGCCGTCTTCGAGCCGATACACGTATATACCTCCGCAATAAGGGAGACGCGACATCGTGCACGTTTTACGAATTGTGTGACACACGAATTGTGGGTCGATTTATTTGACTTTTCGATTATCCGGGGCGACTGTGCGCACGCATGCCGAACAACGCGCGCGGAGCTCGCGCTCGTCTTGTACATCTCTCGGTGTGAATAAATTGTTGAAATTAATTTCAACGATACCTTCCCTCATTCAGAAGAAATTCAGTCCTACCATGTATCTTCGATAATTATAAATTATCACAAAAGATAATATTTTCTACGAATAATATTATATTTTGTTTTGTTTTCGGTGCAATGTCGATCGAATGTTCTGTTTGAGCTGAGTTTCATTCAATTAGAAATTGTTATATCATATAGCCGGAAATAATTCAACGGTATAATTTATAAGGTATATAAGTGTCACATTCTTCGAAGTAAAAATGTGCTTCGACTATGTTATCAACGTCATGGAAGCTAGAAGATTTGCTAACAAATACGTAAGATCTTTTGCATCTATGATATTTTGCTATGACAGACGAATATCGATAGATAATAATACGTCTATTTCAATCTACCCGGGAAGAAAGATCATATATGAAATTTGTCCATATATAAATATATAGAAATTATAGTAAAAATGTGCTCTGTTGTTTTATTTTCATACTTTATACCGTTAATTTGCATAAATTAAAATATAGCTTATTTCTTCCAGTACAGTTAAGTAATTTTTTTGAATTATCATTTTCCGTCCCAATACGTAAATATAAATATAAAAAGGGATGAAGTTCAAAAAGGACACAATTTACGATACGAAGTTTGTCGACCGGTGTCAATCAAATTCTCGAATGACGAAAAGAAACCTTTTCCCTCTACAGATGTTAAAAAGTTAGCAAAGCGACTCGACATGAATTCACTGCAGAAATCGCGGAGAAAAGACGAGCCGTTGTCGGGGCTCGTCGTATTAATATCATTAATCATCATCAATGCTGGAACGTGCGGCGCCGAGTCGAGCGGAGAATATCTCCAGAAGGTGATGATCGAGCTTCAGGAATTAAATGTGCCGTCTAACGTGGTGACGCACGATCGTCTGTCAATGAACCCCGATTTTAACCATGCGGATTATCAGGACAGTCGCACTCAGTATAATTCGTATCGCAAGCTCAGCGCCCACAACAATGCCCATCAGGAGTTGCAACCGAATGCGCATCAGAATGTACAGAAGTCGGCTGCGAATCTACCTGCCGAAGACATGGCTCAGTTGGCCTCAAACAATATATTACAGTATTATGCGGTACGTTTCGAGCTTACACGAAATCGGTAAAAATAAGAAACCCGGCAAACAAGAAATCGTTACAACACAACGTTATTACAATATTTTATAACATGTAACGTCTTTAAATATGTAGTTCTTAATGTTGCATACAACGTTGACAATATTTGGATCGGAACATTAAAGATAATGTTTCTACGTCATAATTTTAATATTTAAAAATATAATATTATTAAGTAACAGTTTAAAAACATTTCTGAAATATTATGTCAAAATGTTCGAGTTTGTGCATCAAATGTTAAAAAAGAGACCCTTAAAATTCACTAAAACTCCTAGGCAACATGTGTTATGGCAATGTGTGTTACGATGTGTGTTATGGCCGAGGACTGTAACATTCGGAAGGACATCAAAACAGGAAATATGTCGCAGGTGCGAGATTCAGACGCCACTGCCGCCAATTATCCCAAGGTGAAGCAGCCGGAGCAACCGCTGGCGTATACACGAATGGATCTCGCGGCATTGTACAAGAAGGCCTTGGAAAGAGGGTCAGCGATCAGCCTGTCAGCGTTGGCACAGACGTTGAACGCCGCAGGCGGCGGCAACGTGCCGCAGGTCAGCACCCAGCTGCGATTGCCGCTTAAATACCCGATGTATAACTATTACTTCTTTCCGCTGAAGAGCTTCGCGTCCGAGCTGCAGAGAGACCATCACCAAACCAGTGCGGTAAGCGAAAAGACACAGTTTTGTTCTTCGGTGGCGAGAGAACCTGTTGCTGCCGCCACGTCTCGTCCGTTAGACGTGCGATTTCTCTCTCTCTCTCTCTCTCTCTCTTTCTCTCTCGGCGTAACAGATCCTTTTGCACGCAAAAAGTATGCTCCAACGAGGATGCGAGTCATTACAAACAAGGACGATCGTAGCGACTACTACTTAATAACTCGAAATTTCACGAAATCTGTGAAGCGCTTTGTAAGAATTACTTCAATCAATTATTAATACGCGGGGAAACTTATTGTAATTTTAATAATATACAAATGTTATCGCCATAAGTGGCGATCAGACCACATAAATGGAGAAATGTTCTTCTTCTTTGCAGATTGGACCGATATATGCAGCTACCGAAAATATGGAGAACACGGAGAACGGTAGTCAGAAGCAGCTCGTGAATCCGCTGTTTGTGGCAATCGGCACCTTCATCAGCATGGCGCTCCTCTTCATGATGGGCGTGTTATTTCTGCCGAAATTGCCGCACTTTCAGCTGTTTAACGCGCGCGTAGTCGACGACGACTTCCAGCGTTTAACTGCCTTCGTGACGAATGCCATGGACAGCGATATGTTGAAGAAATTTCCGCGCAGCTAGTTCTCGCGTGTGACAATGTGCGCAATCAAAACTGTACATTCCGTGCCTTTACCATCGAAGTTCGGTAATATATGTTAAAGTTCACGAGACAAAGACGTTCTTCGACGCTTACGTGCGACAAAAGATTGCAAAAGATTTTCAGTGTACATAATAAATAAATGATGTTGGAAGACGAAGAGTGAAGAAACGCGGAAATATCGATATATGTATATAACGCAAACAATTACTGGCATGCGTTTTCTCGCTTCTGACGTCACTAAACAAGAACAGTCACAGCGACCATATCCCGGAGCCTCAAGTATATTACATCCGAATTCGCGATCATTGGAGGACAAAACAAGATCAACGATTAACGAAAGATAATATTTATTTCTAGTAACATTATCATATAGATTTTATTTAAAAATGCGACAGATTTTTGTACATAAATATCGATAATGCAATCGCGAGGATCATTATCGCTAGCTACAAATATACCGATGAGAAAATACCGTTAAGTTAGTAGTAGTAACTATGTGAGTCTATAAATATTGTGCTCTCTTTATAATACGCGTACACTATTGTAATAAAGGAAGTAAAGATAAATAATGTACTCCAACTGCTCGAGGAATGTGGACATGTGTATATGTGTGTGTGTGTGTGTGTGTGTATGTGTGTGTGCGAAGTGTACGAAAATTACTTTCTGCCTTGCAAGTATACGTACCTACGCGCTTGTTTTTCTCGTTAGATCTTCCAATTCTGTTCAACATGCGATAACTTCTAAACATTCAAACTGTAGAATCTGTGTGCGGTATCAGAAGAACGGAAGGGAAGGCACACTTTGGGACAGTATACAGTTAATTGTATATATTTCGCCCCATATTTTTCCGCCTAACTATTCAACGGTCAGTCAGTTCGGTTGGTAGTAGAAAGAGCCGCTTGATCCGCTGCTTTCCTCCTCAATAGTTGTCTCTGATGTTCGTACTCGAAATCCTCCTCGCTTAAATTCAACCTCTGAATCTGCAACATTGCATCACAACAGTGTGTAAACAAAATTGTTATCTCTTACAATTTTGATTCAGTGGACATTTTTACACGACTTTGAAATATATAAAAATGCTAACGATATCTACGTCAGGAAAAAAAAAAGTTTACCTGATAAACCAAAGCCTCTTCCTCCATGATATTCTGAGGTGGATTTCTTAGGACTTGGAGAGTTTCGTAAGTCGTCGGACAACGTTTAGCAAGCGACGAGCGACCCAAACTACCCTTCAATAATACCAGACCAACTTTGAAAATCACTTTCACGCCCTCGCAGAGAAACATGTCCCATACGCGTAAGATACTCTCCCACGGCAAAGTTCGCGTGTAAACACACAAAAACCACTCGGTCATATACAAGATCGGTTCCATTTTTTGCTTTTTCTAAAACAGCAAACAGCGATATAAATATTTCCACACAATTGCACGAATTACAATTACACAAAAGCCTACGGCAATACAATCGGATCTGTCATTCGTGTCGCCATTCGTTAGAAAAATACTGCGAAATTATTTTTTTCGAAAAACCAAAAAATATTTACATTGTACAATGGCATTCTCCTTCTGTCATTACGCTCATAAAAATAATCACGGTAAAGTTTTCCCACGCAAAAGTGTCGAAAATAAGTGAAATTCAATCGCATCGCTATGATTACATTCGTTTGTACTAACTAAGTGTTTGTATGCGACGGGAGAGATTCTCTTGAGAAGAGCAAACAGGATGTCCCCGTCGCGCAACAACGTTTCCATGCCTTGGCTGTAATAGCCGACGAGGTACTTGTCGCATATCGCTACGAGACACCAGAACGCCTGTACCGCCGGCATGTGCATCAGCAGGAACGCAGCTATGGGTGCTTGGGCTTGGCAATAACCCACTTTGCTGTTCAAGATGGAATACGCCTTGAGCACTTGGAACAGTTCTTGCTGGCCGGGTGCATTTTCCACGAACATCTCATGATGAGGGAACTGACGATGGAGATCCTTCTTAATATCTTCTATGTATTTGGGATCTCCGGGCCTTTTGATGAGCTCCTCGTACAGGTTCGGGTTCTCATTCATCAACAGCTGACCTCCGCAAAGGTTCAACCAGGCGCGCAATCTCACGGAAGGTGGTATACCTTTGCGACACCTCTCACGGACCTTGCGATAGTTTGCGGTCATGAAAATGCTCCAATTGTTCAACATCTGTATCCATTTTCTCTCTCTCCGTAGTATCACATCGGGTGGTACAGCTTGTTTTCTGCAATTAATAGTATGTTACGTTATCAAAGTAATTCGTCCTCATCTTCACTAATTAATATCAATTTTATTCATCGACATTTATACAACTACTGAAGAATATCACTTGTTGACCAAAAGATACATGTCCAGTCAACTATTGTTATATAGTTGATTGTTTACTACGATATATCAAAATATGTTAGAATTATATTATGGTTCTTATTAGCTATTTCTTTTTATATTTAAGTTTGAGCCTTTAAGAAGATCTGTATTTAACATTTATAATATGAGAATACATAGTATCACCTTTCAGGACTATATTGAGAACCGCCCAAAAACCCATGGCGATCAGGTACAGTGGAGATCACCGAGCCATGGTATATGCTACTGGCTTCTGACTCCGTTTCCCCATTCAGTTCCTCCTCGTCATTATGTGACACGGAAGCAGCCATAGCATCTTTCTACTTCTCTGTGAAATATCACTTATTATTGTAAACATTAATATTTAAACATTGAAAAAGCTATAACAGATGTTATCATAATTATAGTCATATGATTATAGTATACCAATAGTTTCAGTCACACGATATCACTACATATACATTATAGTATATTACGGTTACAGTTGCATACATTTTCATAATTATAGTTATATAAAATATGTATAATTTCACAATTATCACATTATCAAGAATATACATTATATCATTATTATGATATAATACAATCATATATACATATATATATATATATATATATATCTTCTTTAGATATATCTCATTACATCATTATTAAATATAATAATTTTGATAGCAAAAGAAATATTGTGTCATTAAATTACAATACGGTGAAACAAAAATTATGCACAATTTCTTCTTTTAAATATATATAATCGCATTCAGATAATATTATATTATAATATTAAAAATACAATTATTCCATATAAAATACATGATACCTCAAAACAACACGAATAACACGTCGAAATGATGGCGTTCTACTAAGGGACCCGTCCGATTTATATACACGTGAAATATTCATTCAACAATCCGCTACTTCGCCGACAGGATATCTTGTAATTGCTTCATCGCACGCTACATACCGTTGCGCGCATATTTACGCCTACCTCGCAAATGACAGTTTCAGACGTTTGTGCGAGAATCGAATCTGGAATCACGTCGGGAAGAGAGGATCGAATCCTTATTTCCCGTCTCATAAATATGCAGGAAGTGCGGCAAGATACAGTTCGCAAATGTGCGCCGCGACGATTAATTCGCGTCGAGAATTTCGCGTTACGGTGGGGGAGGGCGGTCCGAAGCGACGACGAGATATTCTTTCGTTTCTTCCACGAAAGACCGCGTGTAATCGGACGCACGACACCCAATGCAAATATTTACACGCGCAACCACGCGAGCGCAATTACGAAACACGACGGAGCGCGTCCTTACACGTCCGCGGGAGATGGGCGTCTCTTCGCCGCAGGGGAATAACGACAGATACTTGCCGCGAATCTCCGTCGAATTTGACATCTCGAAATATCACAGGCGCTTTCACAATTATTACTCGATTAGACGCGCCGCACTCATATATGCACACGTGTACTGTGTATATGTGTGTGTGTGTGTGTGTATATGTATATGGTACTTATATAAATGTCATGATGTGTGTGTATATACGTCGTGTATAAACAATTGGTCTGTTTTTTATAGCTGCATTGCCGAATTAGTGCAATAAGTTGAAGTAAAACAAGTACATGTTCCCTCACTTCGACTTACTGCAGCAGTTCAGCAGCGCAGCTATAAAGAACAGACCGAATGGTTGCGTTCAGCGGAAGAAGCGATCAATGAGCATGATTATTGGTCTTTACTGTTAGATCCCTAAAGTTAGATCAATTACGTTGACGAACCGTTGTGCAACTGTTGTGTTCGTTGAAAGCAACCAATTATGCGTCTGACTTGAGCTCAATTTGTCTCGCACATGCTGAAAGAATCGTTCTATTTTCTTTCAACATGTAAAAGAGAATTCACACCTTTATGGGAAAGCAGGAGCCAATCAGAACTCGCGCTGATAGTAAGCTAGATAAAGTGGAAACTATCGATTAACAGCGCGAATTCTAGGGCGTTCGATTCTTTAATCATTCATAACTATTCGTACACGTAATTTGTGGGTGATATCCAATGAGCGTGCATATATTCTATAAGAGCAATACGCTTATTGGGTATCACTCGCAAGTTACAAATACTTACGAATGATTCAAGAATCGAGCCCCCGATCGGCTGCTGCTTTTCTGCTTTCCGCTTTTCTGCCAAGACCATGTCAAGTCTTCAAGTCGTGATTCTGTTGGATAAAACAGAGTAGCCAACGTATCAACTTGACTCGCTAAATCTAGTTCGGGACGAGTCAGCAGAACTGAAGTTGAGTTCGGGAATTCACACTGTGTGCGCCACCACGAATTTTCTCCTTACATTCGAATATGATTGGTCAATTTCTTATTCTTACTTTTTACAAACATACTCCTGCTACTGCCCACTGTAGATTACGCTTTTCCCGAAAGTGAAGCACGGGGTGTCGTAATGCCCAAGGCCTGCACTGCGACCCGATGTGTGTGGGTCACCTATAAAAGCTCAGCGAGCATATCGTACGATTCAGTGGGGTATGTCAACGTGCCATTGACGTACACATCCTTCGCTTGTCGAAGGAGGAGGAAGAGGGAAAGGCGGCGCGTACACGCGACAATCCTCGCGCTTCCGACGGCACAGACGTTCACTAAATTTATCCTTATTTTTCGAGGGAGTCATGAAGTACATTTTGGTGACCGGTGGAGTTATCAGTGGCGTGGGCAAAGGTGTCATCGCCAGCTCGTTCGGCACCATTCTCAAGCATTGTAACATCCATGTGACGTCTATCAAAATCGATCCGTACATTAACATCGACGCCGGCACCTTCTCGCCGTACGAGCACGGTAAGTAGGGCGTAGATGTTCCCGTCGACGTTTCGTCGATCGTTTCGGAAGAAACGTCAATTCGAGACGCACCGAGAAATGAGGGTACGATACTGCGGTTGAAGGATAAAACGGATTGTGCGTGCGTGCGCGGACAGAAAAAGAGACACAGCGCGCACGCAACGATGCGCGCCTTCGCATGCCTGCGAAAAATTCCTCGAAAAAAAAAGGAAATAGTTTTTCTCGCGCGAATTGAGAACTGTTACGCTTACGATATCAAGCGCGACATTATGTGCTTAATCAATGTGGGAAAGTGGGTCCCACGTCGATCGGTACTTTCTCCTCGTTATCCCGATAACCGGAGTCAACGGGTTCGTCACGCCAAATTTTCGTGTCATTTATTGACGTACGAGTAGACTATAGTGGTGGTTCTTAAGAATTTAATGATGGAGCTCGATTTCTATGCTTCTATTCAAACCGTCCACCGTTATACTTGCGTGATAGCGTTACTCGCTTCTTGTTCTTATCTCAACGATGAAAGAGAGAGAAAATTAATCGTTTGAATGAAATAATACGATGTCGCAGGGTCGAATAAAAATGGTTTGATCGACTAGCCCGTGATAGACCTACATTTTATGGCGGTAAAATTGGTCAGCCATGTGCCAGCGCCATTTTACCGCCAATCCACTTGACGATCAGTCTTCCGGTTCTGCACGTGTGTACAAAAGATATCGATGGTTTACGTATTGTCGATTGCGCTCGAATCGGCCGCTATCGTGCCGGCAGAGCATCACTCTGTCTTCCTGCGGTATTTAATTGATGATAAGAATAGAATGACGCTGCCAATACGAGAGAGCGTACAAGTGAACGAGCCTATACGATACATTGATGAAATAATTGCATCGATGCAATAATGCAAGTATTTACACGTGAGATTTTACGCACTGGAAGCAATTAACATTGATATAATTATGCTTTAAATTGCTTTAATTATACAATTCTACAATCACTGCCAACGCAGTATCTTTGTCCTGCATTTATCACTTGTCAGAAGTGCTACTTGATATCCAATGAAACATTACGCTTCCATTGTTCCGAGAAGATAAACAAGCAACGGTATTCCTCGAAGGAAAATACGTTCATATTACTGTTACCTCCTATAAATTTCTTCTTTTGCATTCTACGATAGTATATTTTAACTAAGCATCTTTTCACACGTGATACAACAGGAGAGGTTTATGTACTCGACGATGGTGGAGAGGTGGATCTCGACCTCGGCAATTATGAACGTTTCCTGGACATTACTCTTCACAGTGCCAATAACATAACTACGGGGAAAATTTATCAACATGTTATTACAAAAGAGAGGCGTGGAGATTACTTAGGGAAGACAGTACAAGGTACAAAAATACCTATGTCATAAAAATAATATGTAATGTGTTGTACTAATTAAAAGAAGATACTGTTCTTCAAAGTGGTGCCCCATATCACTGATGCTATACAAGAATGGGTAGAGAGAGTCGCAAATCAGTCTGTAACAGAAGATGGAACTATACCGGAGGTACTGTTGATATAAATGAAATAATATTTTAATTGTTACATATTGCTAAATGATAAACTTTGATTTGTGCGAGAAAGAGAACCGATATTCATTTTTCTGATTTTTAATTAAAGATCTTAGAATTTATAATTAATTTCTCATAAATTAAAACTGAAAAAGAGGGGACTACATATGAAGTTTCATTCTTTCACATAAGATAATGTATAATAAAAGAAAACAACCGATTTTCTTTATGTGCTGTTTTTATATATACCTATAAGTATATAATTATTTATTATATTGCAATTATATAACTTATTAGTTATTTTAATATTCCTAATCCTTTATAGGTTTGCATAGTGGAATTAGGGGGTACGATAGGCGATATAGAAGGGATGCCATTTGTAGAAGCATTCAGGCAATTTCAGTTCAGGGTAAAAAAGGAGAACTTCTGTGTCGCTCATGTTTCATTGGTGCCACAGGTAAGAACATTTATATTTAAATGTTGCCCTTTCAGTTTAAATGTGCATTCGACGGTAAAGTTCCGTGATAAACTTTGGAAAATTAACATTGACTGCGTTACTTTTCGCTGTGCTGCCAGCAGCTCCTTTTTTAAAACTATTTACTAGAATATACATTTTTTTTTTCAGCCGAAGTCAACCGGTGAGCCTAAAACAAAACCAACACAATCTAGCGTGAGAGAACTACGTGGTTTAGGTTTGTCCCCTGACCTCATAGTTTGTAGATCGGAAATGCCTATTGGCGATTCGGCGAAAGAGAAGATCTCGAACTTTTGCCATGTGGCTCCAGAACAGGTAATTGCCAGAGAAATATTTCTTTCTATTTAACAGATTGTTACGAGGGAGATGTCTTTATTAACTACAGATAATTACCGGAGGAAAATTTATCGACAAAAAGATATGTTAAATATAGAATTTTGATTATGTGTAATTACACCAATTATTTTCATGAAGAAACATGCAAGATACGTCATTAATTATTACCATCGACTGTAGGTCATAACTATACACGATTTGACGTCCATATACCGGGTGCCGCTTCTTATGGAACACCAAGGCGTCATAGAATTTCTGAATGATCGATTACAGCTGAATATCGGAATGCCGCGTCCGCGTTGCTTCATGCGAAAATGGCGAGACTTGGCGGAACGCGTCGATCATCTACGTAAGGATGTTAATATCGCTTTAGTCGGCAAATATACGAAACTCGAGGACTCTTACGCGTCTGTCACGAAGGCGTTGCAACACGCTGCCATCGAGGCCGGATATAAATTGAACTTAACGGTAAGATGGTGTGAGTGTTTGAAATGACGTGCACATGTTGTATGATCATACACACATATATGTTTTATAAAGCGACTTTACAAAAGTTGATTATACATATTTTAGGTAATTATTCAGTTTAGGGTTAGTCAGCTTCGATGATTTTGACCTTCGGATATGTCGTCAAGTGTGTTGCCCTGAGTAACGTTGAATTAATTTCAGCGTCGCTTATTGACACTCCTCCTGACAACGTACCTCAAGGTCAAAGCCATTCGACTCCTCTGAATTGAATAATTATCATATCTTCTATCTTTGCAGTTTATAGAAGCTGCCAATTTAGAACAGACTACGAAAGTAGAAGATCCGGTTTTATATCACGAAGCTTGGCAACAGCTCTGCAGAAGCAAGTGAGTTCTTCAGCACGACATGTCTTTACATTCTAATTTATATGTAGGTTTGACAATTCAAAATGTATGTTCATGTGCGATTAGGAATAAATCGAACTATTTTTGCACATTTCGCGATAGTGATAAATATTAGAAGAATTATATCAATTGTATTTATCCCCTTTTCTAGCGGCGTCATTGTACCGGGTGGTTTTGGAAAGAGGGGAATGGAGGGAAAAATGGAAGCGTGTAAGTGGTGCAGAATGAATGACAAGCCGTTTCTTGGTATTTGCCTGGGTCTACAAGCGGCGGTTATCGAATTTGCTCGAAACGTATTGAATCTCGAGATGGCGAACACAACGGAAATTGATCTGAATACCACTTATCCGCTGGTGATCGACATGCCGGAACACAATCAAGGACAGATGGGGGGAACAATGAGGCTTGGCAAGAGACAAACGCAATTTATCAACAATAATTCTATTCTAAGTGAGTGATAGACTTCAGTAAGGCGTTTCTGCGTACTCGTTGTAATCATTTTGTTTTATTACGTGTCAGAAGCGGTGTTCCCAGTAGTCGTATCAGATTCAGTACAATCAGTGTTAAGTGATGCGCCAGTATATTTTGATGATATTTTCATGCTTTTTGAATTTTTTTCGGCATAAAAGAGGGAAAAATTTTCCGAGTTAATCGATATGAAACGTCTTTTTTTTCGAATTAACTTTTTTAATATCCATTATTCTACAGAGAAGTTGTATGATAATAAAGATGTCATAGAAGAAAGGCATAGACATAGATATGAAATAAATCCGGAATATATTGCGGACTTAGAAGCAGCTGGTCTAAAATTCGTAGGTAAGTTATATATTTGAATTATATATATTGTATTTTCTTTAAGGACATCGCTAAATAGTAGTTACGATAGTGTCCTGACATCTGTTCAGGTATTATATAATAGTGATAATAAATAATGAAATAATGCCGAGTTAAGAACGTGACAAATCTTTCCGGTAGGCCGCGACGATCAAAATGTACGAATGGAAATTGCCGAATTGGAAGGACATAGTTACTATATAGCCACGCAATTTCATCCCGAGTATCTGTCAAGACCATTAAAACCATCGCCACCGTTCCTCGGCTTAATTTTGGCCAGTGTGGGTAAATTGAAATATTACTTAGCACGGGGATGCAAATTTTCACCTCGCCAATTAAGCGATAACGAGTCAGGTGAGAGAAAGAAATCAATAAATACACAGTATATGTAGGAAATGGAAACTTTTTTTTTGTTATATCATCTTCAATGAGTGTTTAGAGATATATTTTTGGTAAACGAAAAAATTTACATTTTACGTGAAAATGTCGACTACAATTGTGACATGGATTATTGCAGACGATGAGTACGCGCTCGAGGAAATGACGAAAATGCAATTGTCAAATGGCGTAAGTAGAAGCGGAAGTAGCAGCACGTCGGGTATTAATGATTAGAAATATGTCCCTTAAATTTTTATCAGCAACCTTTAGCAGACTCTAACAGTATCTAACTGGATTTCTTACTAGTCTCCCATTTATATGTATTGGTTAATCTTTTCAAATGGTAGACAAACATTAGAGAAGTATATATTTATCAGAAGTATATATTTATCAGAAATATAACATTTATATATATATATCTGATAATATATATTTTCTAATTAAAATTCATATAATTCAGTTAGAGAGCACAAACAATTTATATACAAATATATAGTTAATATCTATTGTAAAATTTACTTATATCACTTATATATGAAACGTTCTAAACTTAACGGAAAAGTTATTGGATAAGCGAAAATCTATCCGGAAAATGTATTTATAAAAGTTTTACAGTGCACAGATCCTTATAGCGATAAAAATGGCTCGAATTTTTATCTTCATCAAGCGTGTGGATAATATCCATATAGTTTCCTTTTTTTACAATTTTAATAATTTAAAATTTTTTATCTATCCGCATGAAGTACCCAAATGGTCTCGAGCACTCGAATACATATATCATTTTTATCAAATATAATCATCATGATACAAATAATATAGATAATGCGACTCAAAACATATATTAGTAGAATATGAACTTTGTTATAGGTACAACTATAAGTTTTACAACTTGTAATAAAGTTTCCGCAAATTTCTTCTGTATATATATATATATACTTAATAATATACTATAATATGCTATAATTATATATGTATATATATATATATTTATATATATTTATATTTATATATATTTATATATATTTATTTATATATATGCAATGCAACCAAGAACCATGTTTCCTAGTCACTAAAAAGGATAAGAAGGACAAAATAGTAACAAATTATAATTATTTTTAAATATACTGACTATAGAATGAAGAAGTTACAATTATAAAACCTTAAAACTTTTTGTAATCATCATGAATACATGAATTGCGGGTTTTCGTGTCGTTTTATATTATATATTATAACCCTTCATTGGCAACCTGGATCGTCAAATGACCTCGCATATCGTTACGACATTCATTAACAAATGCATAAAAAGTTCAAAGTTTTCTCTTTAAAACGCCCGTATCACATTTTCGAATCAAATGATTTTTCGCTCTGTAAACTCAAAGACAAATTTTGAAATTGTGCGGTCGCCATTTTTCGTTTAACTCGAAATATCTCGGCGAAAAGTAACGATAACATTAATATAACTAATGCGGTTAAAACTAGAGACTTCAAGCTTTAAAGTGCTTCTTAAAGGACTTCTATAGCGTTGTTTTTACGAAAGTTATAGCTTATTGAATTTCACCTGTTATTATAATGAATAGTAGGTCTGGTCAACCTTTGAGTTATACCACTTGAGAAATAGAAATATGTCTGACTTCATCGTTTAGTCATATTACGACCTCATTTTCTTTTTTTTTTTTTTTTGTTGAAAATAAATGGCGTACAAAGTGTGTACATGGTCTAGGATCTAAGCCTATCCGACCTATGTGTATTAAAGTATTACATTTTGACAAGAAGGTCTATATAATTCCGACCTATGTGTATTAAAGTATTACATTTTGACAAGAAGGTCTATATAATTCCGACCTATGTGTATTAAAGTATTACATTTTGACAAGAAGGTCTATATAATTCCGACCTATGTGTATTAAAGTATTACATTTTGACAAGAAGGTCTATATAATTCCGACCTATGTGTATTAAAGTATTACATTTTGACAAGAAGGTCTATATAATTCCGACCTATGTGTATTAAAGTATTACATTTTGACAAGAAGGTCTATATAATTCCGACCTATGTGTATTAAAGTATTACATTTTGACAAGAAGGTCTATATAATTCCGACCTATGTGTATTAAAGTATTACATTTTGACAAGAAGGTCTATATAATTCCGACCTATGTGTATTAAAGTATTACATTTTGACAAGAAGGTCTATATAATTCCGACCTATGTGTATTAAAGTATTACATTTTGACAAGAAGGTCTATATAATTCCGACCTATGTGTATTAAAGTATTACATTTTGACAAGAAGGTCTATATAATTCCGACCTATGTGTATTAAAGTATTACATTTTGACAAGAAGGTCTATATAATTCCGACCTATGTGTATTAAAGTATTACATTTTGACAAGAAGGTCTATATAATTTTTGATGTTGGTAAATAAACAATTTTTATAGTTCTGTATATGAATTGAATGAGTGAATATCTAAAGAGTACAATATTCGCCAGAAGACGGATAATGTTTTAGCGATGAAAATGGAAAAAAAGGAAGAGGGAGAGAAATTCAATGACATTTTCGCAATCGCTTACATTAACGTTCGGGTGTTCCCAAAGTAACCGAAAGAAAAAGGATAGTTCTTTTCGAAATAGGTCGTAGATGTTTCGATGGCTTAGATTACAGGTTAACTAGTCTACGTCCAAGATAAAATAAAAAGAAAAATACATATAAAGGAGAAAAGGGTGAGTGAAAATCCTAATGAGATGGGTACACCCCTGCGTAGATTATTATATAGATCGCACGCGACTTAATGACTTAGCTACATAAATGTGTGGTTTAGTTACATCAGAATGTAGGTAACTTATAGACTTAAGAGGTTTTTGGCTTAGATACAGTGGTACATCTGAAAATATTACGACCTCAGTTTCTCGTTAAGGAAAGTGGCGACTCGTAGCGGAGATACTTAAACTAAATTACAGGGATAACGGATTTACGGAATTATTAGACCCGTTATTTTTGGAACTAAATTACAGGAGCGACGCACTAGAGTATCGGCGATTCGAACAATAATTGCACCAAAGCGACGTTCTCGAACGCAGCCCGGGTGCAGGTGTCGGTGTGGCGCTGCGGCAACTCGGGTAGAGCAAGAGAAAGAGGGAGCGAGCGGCGATGCGTTGGCCGCGGAAAGAAAGAGAGAGAGAGAGAGAAAAGAGACGACCGCTTCTCGAATAGAGTGAACAGCCATATTGCTCTGGCGGAGGTTTGTTTGTTTTGTGGTGGCAACGCACGGTCGGTCGGTCGCGCGCATTTCCAACAACAATCCGTCCGGACGCGGGCGTCATCGACGAGGCACACTCGTGGAGGTCGCCCTCACCGGCAATTCGCTCGCGTGGCTGGTAACCGTGCGTTGTACGCCGTCGTACATTCTCTTACTCAGCCGCCGCCGCTCCCCCGAGTTCCCCTCCTGTCTCAGAACCTCCGTCACTCTCCCCCTCGATCGTCGGTCCTTCTCCTTCCGCTCCTCGTTCTCCCCTCCCCCGCCCGCCCATCCCGGGCCACGGCCCGTGCGATTGACTGCGCTGGGGTATCAGTTGTACACGGGACGCGGTGAGCTTAAGAGTGCCGCACCACTAACGCCACCAACGCCATGGCGTGCGCCACACTCAAGAGGTCCTTGGAGTTCGACCCGGTGCACAGCCACGGCCGGCCAAGCAAGCGACGGAGATGCGTGCCCATGTGCGCGGTTTCGCCCGGCGGCTCGGCCGTCGCCGCCTCGCCCACCTCCCGTAGCGGCCCGCTGCCGCAGAAGGAGTCGCCGTTCGGCGAGATAGCCAACAAATTGACGCCTGGTAATTACCCACAGGCCACGGCCATTTTCTCTTTCGCTCTCTATCGCTCACCGTCGTCTCTCTCTCTCTCTCTCTATCTCTCTCTCTTTTCTCCTTCTATTTCTCCCTTTCTCTCTCTCTCTCTCTCTCTCGCATGCACGCACACCTTTTCTCGCATAAAGCAAGATAGAAAGAATGTTAAAGGTGGAGAACGAGGGAGAAGAGAAATATCTTGAAGGGGCAGTTTAAGCTGCAGCGATTTAAAACCCGTATTCGGGCGATCCCAAGGGAGTGGGGAGGGGCACGCGTAAATCATATGGTAATGTGGTAACGGACGTTCCTCCTTCGGAGATTCGGTTTTTCGCTTTCTGTTTTTTTCCTTCCTAACGTCCACAAAAGCGGAAGCGCCTATATACATTGCCGAGGATGCGCGATATCGGGTAACGTACGACGCGGCGGATCTCCTTACCTTCCTTCGGCGAGGCTGTCATACGCGGTGACACAGCATCTGGCAGTTATTGGATACGTTAGAAATTATGTTTGTTTTTATGTCCGTGGTTACTGCACACGTTAGAAATAACGTTTCATTTTCTGTATTCAAGTTACAATCAGATGATCAGGGATGCATTGTATTGCTTTAAAAATAATATTCCATTCTTTTTATCGGTTCTGATATACTCAACTAAAGAAAAGAAAAATCAAACTTTTTGTTTGTCTTAATCAGTCAAGGTAGAGAGAGAGAGAGAGAGAGCAGATGCTACAGCTTATATTATAATTATGAATAAATTATGAAATTATGAATACATATAAGCTAAGTCCATTTTAAGTGGCGTCTACAGTAAGAATTTAAGATGTGAGATTTAAGCATCAAGTTGTAAGAAATTGACCAACCACGATTGATTATTTTTTTTATAAACGAACCATGGTTAGTCAATTGGATTACTTACGTCTAAAGCAAGATTGTGGACAAGATTACACCAAATTCTCATTGTAGACATTGCTTTATATACTTTCGTGCTGAAAGCACATCATTCTATCTTCATTCAACATGTAATGAGAAATAAAGATTGAATGTGTGCTTTCAGCACAAAAGTTCACAGGACCAACTTAGCCATAAGCATATCTCATGTATCATGTATATATAATTAAATTGTACTTCAAATCTAGTTTATTATATGTATAATATATAATTGTGCTTGCGAAACAAAGAGAAAGAAATGACATATAGTTGTTACATATTCTATTCAACAACAGATTAATTTATTCAAATTTATATAGAATGACATCACAGGTATATAAGCTTTTGCAAGCTACAATGAAAAATCAAAATATTTTATGATCAACTTACATGATATTTTTATTTTTATCAATGTTATCATTTTATCAATTTATTCATTCTTCATTGTCCAGGATTTAATTCATAAACGGAGGGAATACAACTTTGTTTGAGAGATTATTTATCTTCTTTTATCAATTTATGTTTTTCATACATACATAATTGAGATACTATACATATAAAATATATATATCCTTTTTAAACTGTTATTGTATTTGTTTGTACAGAAAAAATGGCTGCCAATATCAGAGAAGAAATACGCAGAATGCAACGGCGTAAGCAGTTGCAATTTCATCCACAGACCAACAGTGGCGATTCATCTGACACAGAGGCTCCTTCTAGCCCTTTGACTTCAGCTGCCTCTTCTACAACTCCTTTTAGTCATAGTTCTAGCGGCAAGGAAAAATTGGAGAAACCCCTCTTCACATTTAGACAGGTAGAATATAAAATCGGTTGCATCTTCTGGGGGAAAAAAGAAAAAAAAGAAGATATCTTCTTTGTTGCCTTTTTGATATCACACCGGAGACAAATATTTTGGTTAACACTTACGAGAAATAAGTATCGGTCTTGTAGATTGGCTTATAGGTTGATTTTACAGGTTGGCTTAATCTGTGAACGAATGCTCAAGGAGCAGGAAACACAAATCCGAGAAGAATACGATCAGATCTTACATCTAAAACTTTCCGAGCAGTATGACGCGTTTGTTAAATTCACATACGATCAAATACAAAAGAAATTCGAGTCTGCAGCTGCACCAAGTTGTAAGTATATATACGTATTTTTTTTTTCTAAGAGTAATTTTAAAATGATGCTTGTGCATTTCATTCTCATCGTTATCATCTCGTAATTTCTTTTATTCTCAGATCTATCATAAGAAAGGATTCTTATTTATAAGGAGATACTTCTGTGAGGAATATTAGGTAAGTGTCACTTTACAGGTCCGAATTTTTTCCTCCTCAGCGAAAACATGAAATATCATCAAAGTAATTGAGGTATCATGAGAGAGAGAGAAAGGGTGGGAGGGAGGGAGAGAGATTTCCTTCTGAATCTCTTTTTCTCTCCTTGGATAGGGAAGCACTATGTAATATTTCGTCATGGTTGTAGATTTATACTGTGTGAAACAAATTTCGCTTGACGTTTGCTGCCGGGGTTCGCAGCGCCGCCTCGTTTCGAAAATCACCTCTAAAACGATAACGGTTTCAGCCAAGTGTCCTGTAAAAAGAAATGAAAAAAAAAGGAACTAAACACGGAGACTAGCGACGTAAGTTCGTAGAGAAGAGAAAGAGAGAGAGAAAGAAAAAGTTGTGTGTGCGCGCGCCTGTATGTGTGTATGTGTATGAGTGTGTGATTTGTGTATGCCGCGATGAACTGCACATAACTACGAGAATCTACCTAATGTATACCTTCGAGACTAACATACAATATTTGTACTGTTCGACATTAGAAGTGCGCTGGTATCAGGGAACTGTACTAGGAATTCTACTTATGTACAAATGTTATTACGGTTGAAAAGTACGATACGTGTACACAGTGCAGGGCTACGTAGTGTGATGGAACAGTGTTGGCATATAAAATGTAAAATATACGCCAATGCATTCAGAATTGCATATTCAAAATCGTTACTCATCGTTCGCAAGACCACATTCTATCCAACACTGTGTGGTGGTGCTTCGCTAAGGCTTGATAACCTTCGGAAGCGGAGAGAGAGAGCGAGATAGAGAGAGAGAGAGAGAGAGATCTTCCCAACTTATCGCGAACGTCTGTATTTTCCTCGTAATTTGCTTCGGGAATTCAATTCGCGGAAAATTCTAGACCACCACCTCGTACGTGTTTCTTGAATAGAGAGCATTGCGTCGGAAACGCTAATTGAAGTACTCTCCAATGATAATCCTCTTTCCGTTTGCTGTGCGACAATTTAGACATTGCTCAAGTATATACACGGCAGCAACCAATGCTCTCACACGATGCGAACAAGTGTATTATAACGTACGCGTTCTGCGAATTTTGCGGGGCTGGTAAAGATAAACTGTGTGTGTACACGATTAAGATGAGATGAGAGAGAGAGAATGAGAGAGAGATTGCCTTTCTCGAAGTCTAACTGGCTCGTAACGAGGACGAGCGAAAACGAGCGTTTAAGGTTTCGATGTAAGTCATGCAAAATTTAGCCGGTCGAATCGATCTTGTTTTATGAATTATTTGTAAGATGTAATACAAGAGTTATGATACATATGTAGCGTAACATGTAGCGTAACTTGTTAAATGGATGATGAATTCGTTTCGACTGGTTTTTGCGAGATAACGGATTCATCCCTCGAGTTCCGTCGGAGAGAATTTTTGTTTTAGGAAGTAATAAATCGCGATAATATCTTCGTCGTTCTGCGCGAATAAGAAAAGAAAAAGAAAGGATGTATGATTAATTGTAAAATTGGTATTTATCGCAGTTAAGTGATTTTCGTTTTGCAGATTACTGGAAATTCTTTGTAATAAAAAGGAAAAAAAAAGGAAGGATCTCATTTAAGGTATAAAAAAAACGCGTTGAACGAGCCGTATAAAAAAAAAGCGTCGAGATAATAAGTAGGCTGTAGTAGGCATTGTATGAAAGCATTGTGAAACGCATAAGTATTTGGAATAAAGATTTCATAAAATTTCATCGGCATTTCTGTTCCCTGGTAGCAACGAATTTCTATAACGCGCAATGAAAACAAACTCGCTACGAATAACGAATACAGCTATGATTTTTAACTCTGTGCCTGTTTTGCTAGAATACGTTTATCACGATTACTACATTATTATTTACTCCGTTATTGTCGCAAAGTCTTTTTTTCTTTCTAGTTTGTAATGTTTCTTATGTTGTAATGCGTCATTCGTGCGATATATATTCTTCTTTTCTTTTTTCTTTTTCCATTCAGAAAGAAGATGCGATCCGATAGTTCAACTGAGATTCTCCTGATGACTTGTGTACATTTTCATATTCTAGTGACGTAGGATGTTTGTTTTGCCGGGAATAAAAGAAAAAAACGAAGGAAAAAAACACTACTTAAAAACGGCGGGGATTCTTGTTGACACACAATTGAATCGAAATGATTGGCGATCGGCTATGCCGATCGTTACGAACGAAGAAACGATATATATCTCGTACGAATTCGTGGGGCATTCGAATTATTATATACTGCCTTTTTCATATTGTGCAAAAGAAAAAGGAAAAGTTTTTCAGTTACCATATTTTTGCGAACATCGTACCGATGGTGTTCACGCATACATACATATATACATATAGCAATATACGTGGAAAAAAGTATATATTATATATATATATATATATATATATCACACATCGAATGTCTATCGACGAGCGATCAAAGCACACGTAGAAGCGATCGTTTGAAAATTCAGAGGATTTTCTTTCGATTAATGAATATCTTCGTAACAACACACATTGTATAAATAAACACGTATTATCGTATAATAAAGATAAGCTTAAGACTGAAACATTCGTTTATTTGTTTCGCTCTAATGAGGAAAGGGAAAAGAAAAAAACGCACCGTCCTTTTTTACGTGTCTTTATTTCGACCTCGATTATATCGCGAATGATTTACTTTGCAGTCGCCGGTTCCCGCACGGGAATATTGTTCTGCAAAAGAAGAAAAATACCTTCGAATTGCGAAGGTATCATCTGGCGTCATTGAATGCTCGTGATTTACTGAGGGCGCCGCATGAAAATGCAATGCGACGATTCTCCGATGCGTGTCACAACTCGTAATCTTCTTAAGGATTCGATTCTATAACGGAGTAAATCCCATTAGAAACGATACGGCTTCGAGAAGCGAGGAAGCCCCGGCGAGACTATATGAAGATCTGACCGCGCGCTGAGGAAGCTGTCACTTCTGGGCGGGAAACAAATTTCAAGCCAAACCACTCGTTCGTTTAAGACCAAAACCGCCAAATCTACAGCGCGTCCCAGATGCTCCCGCTATTATTTTTGGCCTACGTCGTAGCCGTTAAAGTATTCAAGAAGACCACCCCCAATGGTAAGCAGTTCATTTAACGATATGTTCGCGCGAAATCTCACGGGGGAAACGATTGTATTAAGCGGGGAGAGGTCAACAATGACAATTTGAGGCGTAAGATTTTTAAAAAATTGACCAATCATAATTGATGAATTCTCCTATAATTCGACTGTGATCGGTCAATTTTGTAATTCTCACCGTGTCTCGAGATATACGTCGATCGATCCTCCCCCTTATTCACCCTCATCGTGTCCGTTAATATCACGCTTAAATATATCATCCAGGCAAAGTCACGGTCTACCTGGGCAAGAGAGATTTCATCGACCACCTGGACCACACCGATCCTATCGACGGTGTGCTCGTAGTGGAGAATGACTACCTTCAGGGCCGCAAAATCTTCGGTCAGGTGAATAAAGAAACCCCTCCTCCCTCCCGGTAAGCGGGAAAATCATTGATTGCGTTCGGCGGATACAACGATTATATATAATTGATTATATGTAATTTTGTTTAAATCAAAGGGATAATTTTCCATAAATAGATGAGAAACAAATAGATAAATAAAAATCAACATTTCGAGATGTTGATTCGATGTTCTTCGTTTACCGGCTCCGTTTCTCGATCGCACGTATCGCAAAGTGATCCTGAGAAGCGCTCGTCGCCGGCGACAAGTGACATCGTAATCGTTGCACCGCCAATCTACAGGTTTCGACGACTTACCGCTATGGCCGCGAGGAGGACGAAGTCATGGGAGTCAAGTTCAGCAAAGAGCTCCTGTTGTGTCGCGACCAGATCGTACCGGCGAAGAAGGAGAAGCAAGAGACCACGCCGATTCAGGATCGCTTGCTGAATCGTCTGGGTGCGAACGCGTATCCCTTCACCTTCCAATTCCCGCAGACTGCTCCTTGCTCGGTCACCCTGCAACCTGGTGACGACGATCAGGGAAAACCCTTGGGAGTCGAGTACGCCGTGAAAGTGTTCGTCGGGGACAATGAAGAGGACAAGGTATCGAGACAGAGGGGATTGACTCTGATCGACAAACACAAGAAAGATCAGTCGTACGGATGTACGACGGAAGAAATTAACATTAATTGACAAAAATACACGCGTTGACAAATATATAAAGTTCTTTAAGCTTCCGCTGTGTGAACAAATATTTGTCTTGGCTGCCGAGTTTTAGCGCCGTCTCCTTCATGAATTTATTCTCGATGTTTCATGAACATTTCAGCTCGCTTCTTCGGAATTAAGTACTTCCCTATCGGGGATAATATAATTTCCTTTTGTTATATTTTATACAAGGCTTCTCCTTGTATTCTCCTTGTAGTCTACTTGAACTCGTTAGAAGACGAGGCTTAAGTGAGTCCTCTGAGAAAAGATCCATAGTCCATCGGGCAGATTGCCAAATTAAGCTGATTTTTGATCCGCTATCTCGCGTTGAGGTCGTTGGGGGGATATTTTCGAACATCTAAAGCCTGTCGATCGTCGATTATGCATCAACAAATTTCACACCTCTTCTTTTTCATCAGGGACATAAGAGATCCTCCGTATCGCTCACCATCAAGAAGCTGCAATACGCTCCGCCGTCGCGAGGCCGTAAGCTCCCCAGCTCTCTGGTTTTCAAGGGATTCACCTTCTCCCAGGGTAAACTGAGCCTGGAAGTCACGTTGGACCGAGAGATCTACTATCACGGCGAGAAAGTTGCGGCGAACGTCATAGTGACGAACAACTCGCGCAAGGCGGTGAAGAACATCAAGGTGCGTATTTCGCGGTGAAATTAAGTAAATGTTTACCTCCCTTATCTCACCTTTGTCTCTGTATCTCGGTTGTTTCTCCCTCTATAGCTTTACGTGGTGCAACATTGCGAGGTGACGATGGTGAATGCCCAATTTTCACGGCACGTGGCCAGCTTAGAGACTCGCGAGGGCTGCCCGATCACGCCTGGCGCATCCTTCACGAAGCAGTTCTATCTTGTGCCGTTGGCCAGCAGCAACAAGGACCGGCGCGGCATTGCTCTCGACGGACACCTCAAGGTGGAACAATCAATATTTTTTTTCTTCTCTCTTTTTTCTTATATTAATCCGAAGTTCCGCGATAGAATCGTGCCGCTGAAACGAGAGACAATATTGTGCAGCACCTGTTCGAATGCATTAAAATTACTTGTATAATTTAAATAACAAATTCAGAGTACATTGTACTAAATACCGTTTGCATTTGGAAATTAAATTGCAATTTAGTATTTTAAAATGAAAGACTAAAAAGGCTTGTTACACTTATTGAGTAGATCGAAATTTTGGGGAACTTATTTCCTCTCGTTTCTTTTTATCTCAGGACGACGATGTGAATCTGGCGTCCTCCACTCTGGTCGCCGAGGGCAAGTGTCCGGCTGAAGCTCTGGGTATCGTGATCTCCTATTCCGTTCGAGTCAAATTGAACTGCGGCACTCTGGGCGGTGAACTGGCCACCGATGTTCCGTTCAAATTGATGCATCCAGCTCCCGGTATGTTTAAGATACTATTCTTGATCGGCGTCTGTCCGCCATTAGTAGTAGTACGCAAGCACGTGAACGTGAAAAAAGCACACTCGTTCACGCGTTATCTTGTTATTTTATTCTCATTCTATCAAACGTCCTTCTCTTCTTCTCTTTATTTGCGATTTACAATATATCGATCTTCTCCCTTTACACAGGCACGATCGAAAAAGAAAAAGCCATGCTGAAGAAGAGCAAGAGCATGGAGAGAGCGCGATACGAGAACTCCTGCTACGTGAACGACGACGATGATAATATCGTGTTCGAAGATTTCGCCCGCCTGCGTCTGAACGAACCGGAATAAATATCACCGGATCACTTTTCATCGGGCTGCGACCGATTTACCAATCAAAAGAATCCAGAGCTTTCTCCGCGAGGTTGTAGTGCACGGATTATTTCTCGCGCACGTGCGACGAAAATTCAATTCTTATTCCTATTCGAATCGGACGATGCTTAAAGATTGAAACCGCTTTATATACGATATCGGCGCATACAGGGTTCTTTTGACGGTGTGGTTTTCTCAGTGAACGAGTTGTATTTAAGAGAACGTAGGTAAAAGAAAAAAAAGAAAAAACAGTAACGAGCTTAACTGTATCATATTATGAAACTACCAATGAAAAGCAATACAAGAAAAATACAAAAAAGCGAAAAAACGAACAATTAAAAAAATTGTCTTGGGATTTCCGTGCGATGGTGGTGGTCGGNAAAAAAAAAAAAAAAAAAAAAACAGAGAGAGAGAGAGAAAATATCAAGTAAGCTTAATACACGTAATTGATTTTTGATTAAGTTTTAAAGAATTTCCCGTCTCACCAGAAGTGACATGAATGTATTCGATTTAAAGTTAATTATTTCTTATATTTCACGAGATTCACATGTTCCGACCATTTATTTATTTATTTATTATCAAAGGACTGTTAATTCACGGTATTGTTCAGTTGTGATTGCGTTGGAAAGAAAATAATACATATATATATATATATGAAACTGTAAAAATACATCTTCGCTTTATTTCCCCTCGAAACGTCGATCCCTTCGATGCGAGTGTAGCGCGAAGGACGTGCGTAAACCGCACTAATAATTTTTAACACACTTCCGTTCGACTTCCATTCGCGATAATACGCGAGAGACATCACCTGCGAACCTGCTTCCCGAAAATTAGATATATTTCACGTTAACTATACAAAATATTACAAGAGGAGCAAAGGTTTTTCGAGTCGATCAGTCTTACGTATAACGACGCATACGTACTGTCCCTGCCGCATTTAATCGTATATATGCGAGTAAAATTCCTGATACACCTGGATGTAAGCCTCCTTCTCCATGGGTGTCATCTGCGCGATCAGAGTATCGTTCACGTCGGTGATGGCGACGGTCTTGCCGGCGACACTGACAGTCGGCGCGAGCTCGTCCTCGTCCGAATCCATCATCTCCACCTCGCCTGTCAAAAATCAATCCGATCAGTCGTCAATTCTATGAAGTATCAACAATCAAATAACGATTATAGGGAAAGTCCATAGTATTAAAGTTTAGTTCACCATTAATCTCTCAACACACATTTTCTCCATAATATGTGAGATAATTAGATAATCCTGTCATTTTTAAGGATGCATTCTTGTAAATGTAAACTTACATTGCTCATTAAAAATTACACACTCGCAAGCGTACACCGTAAAAATTTCATTGTAAAGATTTACAAAGAATCAAAAAGTAAAGTACTCCATAGTTTTCAATATTTAGCGATAAATATTCTGTTTTTGTGATAATTAATAATTTCGGATGAAAATAATGCTCTAAGTAATTCATAATTTTTTATCTTCTCTCATCATTCTCTATGTATTAATTGTGTTTAATTGTATATTGTTTAATTAAATTAAAATCTTCAAAATCCTCGGATGTTAAAATTGGAAGCTACGACGCTGTTTGATTTATTTCTCATACCTGCATCGACGGTCTGCATCTCTGATATCTCCTCGTTATCACTGCTATCGCTGGAATCCTGAGGGAGTGTAGCTTTAATGGCCGCCGCCGAGTTACCGCCACTCTTCTTCTCGTGAGCCAACAATACCGACATGATATCGTCACCCTGCTTGTTGTTCGTTGTGGTCGCATTTGTGGCAGTGGCCGCAGCTTTGTCCAGGATGCTCTCCTGCGTATTTATACCGTCAGACTGCGAAACAGTCACACAATTAAAAATGATTGTCGTTACCAACGTGGAAAAACAATGTCGTCACTAAGTCGACATTGTTGAAAAATAATAACTTGTAACGGTAACGGCGTTACCGTTGCATTATTTCCCAGCTTGAATAAACTAGTGGTCAATTAATCATACTGGAGTAATTAAAATAATCTGATAAAAAAAATTAATAAACAGATAATGCGATATAAATTTATGCAGATTTACCTGAGAACCATCGGCATTGATAACTGTGCTCTCCATCATCCATATAGGCCTTTCCTTCCTGTGATTCGCTGCGTTATCATCAGGAGACTCGTCTCCAATAGTAACGTCTACTCTAGTATCTTCCACCATAAAGCCTGTCGTTCTGGTAGCTTCGCCTGACCAGTGTTCGCCAGGTGCACGAGGAATGATCGGTTTTCTCGTGTCGATACTGATATTCAAATCATACAAATCATTATTAGCAATAATTTTTGATAAATTAATGGCAATTTTTGACATGTGACGTGGGACACTACTTAGACACGCACCCCCGAATGGTGTTGATATCAACAGGTTCTGGTTCCAATATCTCGGGCGCTAATTTTATCCCTTCCACTTCCCTTAACAGTATATAGAGCGGCTCCAATTGTTCGTTAAACTTTGCTAATAATAATCTAGAATCTTTCTTCGGTAGAGCAGACTGATCCTCCTCCACCACTTCACGACAATACGTACATCTAAACTCACCGGTTGTCATGTCGAACAGTTGGTCCGCCTACGTAGGTTTAACAAAGTTCACCTGTTAGTTATCATCTCGGATCAATGTCATAAGAGAGTACCAACACATATCATCATATCATTATTTCAATCTGTCAAATCATGAAATTTGATTCTTTCCTATATTTAATTTGACACACAATTACTCCTCATCATAGTACTTCAGGCTTCATCGCATGTCATATTACAGTTTTCGTACTTACCTCAAGATCGGTAAATGTTTTTAAACAATTTGTACATTTGAAGCTAGCCCTGCTGGTCGCATCCCTCTCTTCAGTCTCCATTCGCTTCCTCATTAAATCCAGCTTATACTTCACAACATTTACAAAGGTCTGAAATAAAAATGTAAGTCCCCATTGCGTTCCCCGTTCTTCTATATTTTCAGTCAGATTCGAGAAAATTATTCTTATGCCTACTTTGTAATTGATAAAATAATAGTTGACTTTTTGAGCTTTGCCGTCAGATCCCGTCTCCATTTTTAATCTCACTTGAATGAACTTGTCATTGCGTAATGTGGATATCCTGGCTCTCAACATCTTGCGTTCGAATTTCAGCAATTCACAAATATCATCCTCCTTCATACCTATCGAGATGTATATTTCACATGAATGAACATTATCCTATAAAAGTTTCTGCTGTTGTTCTGTCAATAGAGAACTTGCTGACAGAATCTGACAGCAGATTGACAGCAGAAAGCTAGCAGGATCCATGATATGTTCCATTTAAGTGCAAAAGAACGGCAGATCCTGCTCAATTACTGCCGTCAGTTAGTCATTGTACTGTCATCAGATTCTGTTGTATCTCTCTGTCAGCAAACTGCTTACCATACGTGGTGCATAATTATCCAGATAACATTAAGATGTCCTAAGATATTGCGAACGTCTTTCAGACAATAAGAATGGTCGAGACATCTTCAAAATATGTATATACACGTGTTGTTTGAATACTTACATGGATTTCTAACTAACATGTCCACAATTAGCGCATCCTCTATGGAATAAAATCCACGTACAACAAGACGTGCGAGCTGTTTCAAGCTACTAGGAACCTCAGTGACAAGCCTCTCCTCAGCGCTCATGTTTTACACGATTTTAAATAGCTCTTTAACAATCGATATCGTTGCGAAGTAATAATAATATCAGTAGTTTATCAATAATGTTATTATTATTGGTCACACAAAGCTTGCAAAATTATATGGCAGCATAATCACAAATGTATTCTGAAATTTGAATCGTTCCAATTATTATCGTTCTTACATCGTAACTGTGCACACAGTCCTTTTCTCAAAAATCAGAAAAAAATATGTGCACGTTAAATAAATAATCCATAAAAAATATATCGATAACGCGGAAAAAATACTAACCTTAAAAATGTTCCACATAAATATTATGTTACGAAAATACTACGAATATCGAGGTAACAAATGTAACAAATAAGTATACATATTAATTATTCGCATAAAAGTGAAAAAAGTAGCTCACTGACAAGCAGAATGAATCATTTTGATTATTGATCTAAGTTATTAAGGGTACGATCTACGGTTAACAGCTTGTTTACCATCGCTGGTCACTTCGAGGTTATGTTCCCCAACATGAAACGAATTCTAAAATGATTTACAACTGCATTAAGTTGCACGGTCTGCACTTGAAATGAAGTTGCTGTATATTTGATGCTTGAGACGGAAGAGAGAGGAAAATAGAAGGATCGCAATATCGCAGTTCGGAAAGTGCAGCTGTGAAAAATAGGCCTTGCTAGTCAAGTGTCAAAATTTCCGTGAGTGTAGCTTCCAAAGATAGATGAAATTTCAAATAGTTCATTAATGGCAGCGATTGATAAAGTTAAAATTATCGTAGTAGGTGATTCTGGTGAGTATAAAAATTTACTTTATATATATATATATATAATGTGTTTGACTTTACATATATAATTGAACCATACCGTAATGTGAATCCTTATTGTTATTAACATTCAAATTAATTAATGTGTATCGGAAAATTAATATATTTGAATTATATCACAGGCGTTGGTAAAACATCTTTGACACATTTGATATGCCAACAGCAACCTATCAGCAATCCCTCCTGGACGGTAGGTTGCTCGGTGGAAGTCAAATTACATGAATATAAAGAAGGAACGCCTAATCAGAGACGATATTTTATTGAATTATGGGATGTTGGTGGCAGTCAGAATCACAAAAACACGAGATCTGTGTTTTATAATCCCACAAACGGTATGTAAGTGCCATATAAAACTAGATATTGTATCACGTTTATGTTTATTTCATGTTTAAACGTATAATCATGACAATATCTAACAGTAATTGCAAATAATATGTATTTCTCGCAATAGGCATAATACTAGTCCATGACTTAACGAATCGTAAATCACAGCAGAACCTACAAAAGTGGCTGGAGGAGGTTTTAAATAAAGATGGAACTTTTTCTAGATCCAAATCATTCGATGACTTTGATCCTGAAAAATTTGTTGGCTCGACTCATGTAAAAAATACTTTAAAATTACCAAATTGCAATGCTACAATGTATAATTATTGTATATATATGTATATTAACCCTTTCTGACCTGAATTTATTTTTGCAAGTGAAAAAAAAACTTTTATTTCAATTTATTTTGTTTTTGGGTACAACAAGAGTTACAATGAGGGAACTTAAAAGTTAGTAATTACAATTGGAATCAGCCGAGAAGAAAGAGTTAAATATATATGGCTGATAACGTCAATTAAAACACAATTTTGCAACCGTTGCAAGATTTTCTGCTGAAAATTATCTGATGATTTACATTTTCTTAACGTGTTAATCGAACGATTATCATCTTTTCCAGCATACTGAAAGTGCATTTAATAAACACATTATATTGGAAAACTGTTTGTAACTGTCAAAAAGAGAACGCTCAGCAAAACTCTTCCAACTGTTGGAAATATAGCGCAAAGTGTTAAAGCAGTATCGGCTTTCATTAAACACAGTCGATCATTTTCAGATACCAATTTTAGTGGTTGGCACAAAGCTTGACTTAATCCCCGAGGTAAAATCTAACGTACATAGACGTTCGTCAACCATCGCGGAGGAATGTGGTGCCGACGAAATATTTTTGGTAAATATTATAATTCTCAATATTAAATTTCTGTAAGGGTTGTTCACAAAGGACCGTGTCCGATCAATTGTTACAACACACCGTTATTTCAACAGGATTGCCGTCAGACAAGATCATTAGCGGCTGGCTCCAGTTCGTCCGTAAAGCTCAGCAGGTTCTTCGACAAGGTCATTGAAAGACGCTACTACGCTTCTAGAGAAGGGATCAATTCTGACAAGTGGAGACCACCACTGTATTCTTCCTCGGTTTACACGAAGTTCTATCACAATGATTAACGCAACGTATAACGTCTCGAAAGAATATACTTATTCTGTGTATTACATAAGATAACTCAGCTTTGTAATGCGCAATTGCACTACAAAACCACCGCAGAATTGTGTAAATCAGATTTATCGCAACCCGGACGACACAAATGTCCAAGATCGGGACACAGGACGTCTCTTGGATATCTTTAAGTTGTCTTTAAGATATCGTAATATAAGGCGTCTTCTTTGAGTCGTCTTTAAAACATCTAAAAGATATCTTATGTCATGATTTTGGACATCATTTGTGCTGTCCGGGAAGGTAATGATCACGCATTTCTCTATTCACACATTCCTAATCTTCCTACGGAAGTATTTTATTGGATGTGCTCAAGATATGATTGTGAATACAATAGTTAAATAAATAAATATACATATATATATATTTTTTTTTTCTTTTATCTAAGTATTGCAAACTAGGCCTGGTTTCATCAACGCGAAGTTAATCGAATCGTCCGATTAAATTCAGTTCTTCCGTCGGGGACGTTCAATCGCATCGTTGTTGAATAGACACGATTGGTCAATTCCAATGGACAAGCTGAATTTAATCGACTGATTTCATTAATTCGCGTCGGTGAAACCGAACCATAGTATGTGTAACTTAAATTATCAATTGTAGTATTGCAAAAATTACCAGAACGCTGGCCGAGACGGCGAATCGAGAAATCATAAATTTTCTTAAACCGATGGACAGCCAGTTCAGCTGAAAAGGACGGACCGAATACCGCGCACATTTCAGTATCGCCACAGTTCAGTGACTTCTAGTGACTGATATCTAGTAACATTAGTCACCATATGTCGCCAAAATGTTTCGCATTTACTTCGTCAGATGGCGCGTCGAAATCCAGGAATTTCCACAGCGGTGGATGCTTTCAAGTTTCCCTTCGGTAACTGTGAATTTGGGAATTTTAGGGTTTTTGCCGTGCGAGACCTCTTCGTGATCAATTCTAGCAGACGACAGGACAGTAGCAGACAGCGTGTAGCAGCGTCGCTCGCGGACGCTCGGTGAAGAGTGAACTGAGTTTGAATCGGGGAGGTGGTGCAAGCAGACACATAGATACACGAGTTCGAATTACGAGGCGGATTCGTTTATTACACTCTGACTGAAACGAATTGATAGTCCACGATGGATCCCGAGGCATTCTTAGACATGGCCAACCAGGTCATTAAGCTGAAAATGTTCCCGTACTTCGACATTGCGCACTGCGTGCTGTGCGCATTACATGTCAGGGAGGATCTGGGATCAGGTAGGCCCATCCGTAAATTGGCCGATTCTAAATTTATAATGCTGCTCGCGCGGAGACTCGACGCGCAACTCTCGAGTAATAGCTCTCTCGCGCGCGCGTCGACCTCGCTATTCTCGAAATCGACAGTCCTACGTTCCCCCAACGTTTTATATTTACGCGTACAATCTCTCTCTCTCTCTCTCTCTTCCTTCCTCTTCTCCTCCTCCTCTTCTTTACCTCACACACACACGCACGCCCCCCCCCTCTCTCTCTCTCTCTTTTTCTCTCTTTTTCTTGTTTTTTATATTTTTCTACCAAATACAAATAAAAGTTGATTAAAATTAGGAGCTGTCTTTACGTTGTCTTTTTGGCACAGTTATTATAATTTTATCTCAAGGTAATAGCACACGCTAACCCAGCTGATCTATTTCAGCATGCGGTTTGCAAGTTAAAACCCGAATTATCCAAATGTGACGTTACGTTCTCTTTCCGAGGAATATTTAAATTTTCTCTAAAACATGTTTCATTATATTACGTTATTTTTAGGACGTTTATTATATTAATTTTATTTGATATTGATTTGAAAATTAAACTATTGGGAGAATATAAATTAAATCTTATACTTTACATGTAAAAAGAGGTACATGTATTAAAATTACAGATATATCTTTCGTATAAAGAAATATTTTTTTATATTTCTATATGTAAGTAAGAAGTTATTATTAATTCACGAATATATGTAATGAGGTTTCGTAACATTATTTATTTTAACATTAGTCGAGTCTAATTAATTTGTTATACTAATATAACAAAGAGTAAAAGATTATCGTTTCTTGAATTGGTTACCTTTAACAACAATAATTTATAATTTTTAATTAAAGGAAGCAAAGCTTCTTTTCATTAAACAAATTTTTGTAATATGGAAACTTAAAATATCTCTAAATTTGCAATACATGTATCATACTTGTAAGGCCTGATGTTGGCTATCCAAAGTCAGATATACCGTCATTAAATATGTTTTTTTACACATTACCTTTGTTTTCAAATATTTGATGAAGCATATATATATACACACACACACATGCGCGCGCGCGTGCAAACACACACATATATAATGTTTTTATATTCAGGTGCACAAACTTTTTCTCGTAAGCATCCTTTATCATGTTGGCTGTCTACAATGCTGGTCGTTTTTGCAAGCGGTATGTTATGCAATGGATTATTAGGAGAACCAATTCTCGCACCATTAAAAAATACACCACAAGTAGTAGTCGCAACTGTTGTCTGGTAATTATTAAATACAATACATAATTGTATAATTATATCTACTTACTTAATGTTAATATTTGAAAAATTAAATGTAAAATTATGACCTATTAACTTTAGAATGAAATGAAATAATTATGAAGTTTTGCAGGTATGTGATTTTTTATACACCATTTGACATCGGTTATAAAACAGCGAAATTTTTACCAATAAAAGTGGTATGCGCAGCTATGAAGGAAATTTATAGGTAAGTAAATATTTCTTTCATATGTAAGTAAATATTTCTTTCATATGTATTTTCACACATGTACGTTAGCACGTACGCGCGCGCACACATACATATGCACGCACACACACGCGCATACGTACACGATATTATAGTTATTATAGTTATTATAGTTATTATTTTGTTATCTGTACAGGATGAATCGATAAGAATTATCACTTTTAATATCTTTGCAACTTAAGCGTTAGAAAAAAATTTGTTCAACAAAATTTGTATGGTATAAAGGAGATTATTATATGATAACGGTATTTTAATAGAAACAGACTTAGTGAGATATGAAAACTAACTTTTTTTAGCAGAATTGTTTGTACATACATATTTGTTTTTGTTTACGTATTTTTTTCTTTGTTGAGAAAATTGAGCCTTTATTTATGAAAAATAATAAACATGTCAATCTTCGAAATATTCACCATCGTTTTCTAATACTTTTCTTCATTTATCAAGCAGCTGATGAATCCTCTCTCGAAAAAAAAAGACGACTTTGACTGAAAATGAAATCATCGATGCATTTTCGGGCCTCTTCCATGCTTTTAAAGTGTGTATTAGCCAGTTGATGTTAGAGCGATCGTAATAAATGGTAATCCGAATGAATATACCGCATGAAAGAGAACTTCCCAATCCAACAAATATATAGTGTCATTTCGTCCTTTGCGACCGTGCGGTCGAACGTTATCGTGCTGCAAGATGCCGCATTTCATATAAATTGTCTTTTCTTCTCATCGCTCAAACGAATGAATTATTATTAGTGATACTCAGCATTAATTGTTTGGCCAAATTATAGCAACTCATATCATACCCATTATATCCCATCAAATAAATAATACAATTTTTACCATCTATTTCGGTCGTTCCAGCATCATCTGGCTAACAGCCATTTTAAAACGAAAGAAGAGATCCGAAAATATATCGACGACTTCATCGACTTAAAGCCGCTATCTTTTTGCTGACAAGGGATTCGTCAGTTACCTGACCCAAGATGGAGCAAAGTTGTGCAAAGTGATGGGGAATATTTTGAAGATTAAGATGTACTTTATTTCTGTATAAATAAATATTTATTTCATATAAAAAAAGTATCGAATTAATTTGTACATCTAATAAGTGTCTCTAGCTAGCAAAATAGCAAAAATTTAATTTTTGGGTAAAGTTTCAAAATCTGTATATGTGATATATACTAAGACGTTATATATATAGTAAGCTGCTGTAAAAATTTCACGTTTGAAGTCACGTAGAATTAAATAATTTTAATAAAAATAAATATTAATTTTTTAAATTTTGACTTCAGATTTGCAATTAGAAATACCCCCAAATCCCAACATACTAAAATTCAGCAAAATATATTCCAAAAAATTTGAGCAAAAAAAAGAGTTAAACAACATTTTGTGCGATATTTTAAAAGATAAAACGATTTGTATCATTTTAGCCTCATTGATTCTCTCTCTCTCTCTCTCCTCTCCCTCTTCCCTCTCTCTGTGTGAGTAAATGTATGTGTGCGCATGTATTTAATTAATTTATGAAATGAAGTTCTAATGCGCTTAAAAAATAAATATATATATTATTTGTTACAGATGTAAAAAGGTATACGACGGAGTCACTCATGCAGGAAAACTTTATCCGAATGCATATCTTATCATGATATTGATAGGAACGTTAAAAGGTTAGTCGAGAGATTGCGTATGTTTGCATACACACATACACGCATACAAGTATGAGTCACTTGGAACAGGCTATCTTCATAATTCTTTTATTTATAGTTATATAACAACAAATGCTCTTATACCAAATTTATTTAATATCATAATCCTGCAACTTATATTCATAACTTTTTTGCATAAAACTAACACCTTTGGCGAAGTAAAGATGATTTAAAATAGAATACCTTATATATGTAATACTGTTTTAATGTGTAGGCAACGGAGCTGGGTTTACGAAATTGTTTGAACGTCTTATACGTGGCGTATGGACGCCGACTGCGATGGAATTTATGCAACCTAGTTTGTATGTAGTGATCATAATATACTGAATTTATTATACGTGCAATTATGTTTCGATGAAGCTAATTTATCAATAATGATAATTTTATTTCTCACAGTCCTACAAAAGCATCCATGGTTGCATCGATTATTTTTGTATTAGACAAAAAGACTGATCTCATTTCCGCGCCTCATGCTCTCGTGTACTTCGGCATTGTCATCTTTTTCGTTTACTTCAAGGTAACGTCTAATATCAATTTGGATATTCTTTTATATATAAGTAAAATACATCCATCCACCGACCTGCTACCTTTATAAACAAAAGTAATAACGATCATATTATTTTCTAGTTATCGTCAATTTTGCTTGGCATTCATGATCCATTTGTACCATTCGAAAATCTATTCTGTGCCTTGTTCCTGGGAGGGATTTGGGACTCTCTGGCTAAATTATTGGGCCGTGGACAAGCTAAAGATGATAAGACGGATGCAAAGAAAACAAACTAAGTAATAGAGTGAGGTCTGATATATCATTATTTCTAAATTTTAAGAAGTTGTATATTTCCTGAGCTTTACTAATCAAATTTGTGTATATTTTTTTTGCAGAAAACTGGTTTATGTTATTTATGAAATGATGAAATAAAAAAAAACATATAATACCATAAAATGATATGGCAGATCCATAAATGAGATGATATATGACCTTCCTATGTTGGAAGTACATCCACTTATGTTGGATTGTACACACACACACACACACACACACACACACAACGAGAGCAAATTAATTTAATTTGTGCTCATTATTTACGTAATGCTCGTTATTTTTGTCGTTGAAAACTTAACGCAATCGCTACCACTGTTTCATTCGAGAAACCGTCCGCCATATACTATCTTCAGTTTTTTTTCTTTTTTTGTGAAATAGTTTAAAAAGAAGGCTTAATTTTTATGTTGACGTGTGACAAAAAAATTATCGTTGTTGTACGAACATGAGCTCTCGTAAGTTTCGCCACCGTCATCTTATATAGGATGTTTGACAATTCACATGACTCCGCTTACGAGGTTATATTAATCTGAACAAGAAAATTATCATTTTTGTAATTTTCACAATAGTTATTAAGATACATTAATTAAGGAATATCAACGAATAACTATGNATATATATATATATATAATTTTTTTTCTTTTATTTAAACACACATATATATACTTTAATGGTGGAAGTTATTCGGTTTTTGAAGAATACATCTTATAAGAATTGCAGCATATTATTTCAACCGATACTAAAACATAGATACGAATTTTGTATAGAATGTCCTGCCATTATCGTGATACCTGTGAATGCGGCAAATTCCGGAAGATATTTTGAGACGACAATCTTAAGTACGAAAATATCGAGGCTAGTAATAGGTTTTAAAGCGTTTGAAGGAAAGCGTTTGAAGGTGATCAAACTGATTGTAAAAATTCCCATTCGCTCAGATACTTAAAAGAGAAATCTCATCCAAAATTCTCCTTCCGAAGATCACCGAACATGAAACATATTGTAATGTTATTTACGCGCCGCTCGCTGCCCGAAATCATTGTCTGTTAATTGTGCGACGGACAGTTGCGAAAAAAATCCCCGCGTTCGTTATTATTAAGTTAAATAAATGCGTGTATTGTGTGCCCACGAGGGAGTGAAAAAGAACGGAAAGGAGATGGGTGCAATTGCACTCTCCGTCGCGGCAAGATTTCCTTCGCTCTCGCGCGGAATATCCTCTATAAGCGCGTAATATTCCTAGAATATTATATGAATATTATTAAATATTAAAATAACATTCTTATGATATTGTAAAAATGTTACATAATATTTTTTAACATTACAGGAATGTTCCATTGAGATATTATATGTCCATTTCACATGATATTCTTGGTATAAAAATATTCTTAGAAAAAAATAAAATAATAATAATATAGAAAGAAATATATAAATAAAATATATATTATATATATACATATATGTATAATTTTTTTAGTATAAACCGTATTTTTATTTATACACAAAATTATTTCGACTTTATTTATATAATAAAGCAATTGGTATTGCCACACATATTTAAAATAAAAAAAACTACAATTATATATACACATAGTGTTGAATATTAAAAAAATACATAATATTATAGTAACATATTAAATATTATTTTTCAAATATTATTAGAAGTGGACATACAACCATCTATTAATATTCCAGAAATATGACTGAATATTAATATACGCGCTTGTAAGGTCTCTGACCGGTGGAACGTCTAAGAGAACAAGCTTGCAGAGATCTCCGGTTTACGCATACTTAACATACGAAAATGCGATACAATTTATAAATATAATTCTAATTTTTCAGTCTTAATTTTCTTGTATTAAAGCGTGTGTAACTAATGTGTTGCTCTATTACTTATCTTTATGCCTACACCTTATATATGTAATTTGACAGCTGTCAGATCACGTACTGCGCATGATCGTCAATTCATAGATTCGCTTCGTCAAATTTTTTGGTTCCAAAATACGAGAAACAAAAACTGTTGCAACCGTTCTGTGACCGAGTGTACGACATTCGCTAATAAATACGTAAAAAGTTTACTGTTTTCAGAAAATACGAACAATCAGTGAGCGATCATTGATCATTGGTCTTTACCGGTTAGATCCGTGAATTTAGACCAATCATGTTGACGAATTACTCAAACAATTGTGCAACCTTTGTGTTTTCCGAACGCAACCAATGTGCACGTAAATTTCTCGTGAATCAATCCAGCTAGTCCGGCTAAAACGAACAGACCGATTGAAACCCAACGAATTTTGTAAATGACGTGTTAAGTTTCCGCGAGGTTTGTGTTGTATTGTTGTATACGCGGAAAGATGAGCGTGAATGAAAACGAAAGTATCGAGGAATACGAGCCCTCTATCAAAAATGTGATCGAGCAGCATTCTTTACGATGGATATTCGTGGGCGGCAAAGGTGGAGTCGGAAAAACAACTTGCAGGTATAACATAACCTGAGCTTATAGCTGTCGGCGGTTTTCTCTTTTATAAAATAAATCAAAGTAAGAATCTAAATATTTATACTCGTACTATTTATTGTCTGTAAGTTCATGTGTTCATGGATGTATGAAACTAAATACGATCTTTCTGTGTATGGAATGACGTAAGATGCGTTCCACTTAACGCTCGTAACGATAGCCAGCGATCATTCTATCCTTGTTTCTCGCTGGATGTTAAACAAAGACAGAACGATGTTTGCAATCGTTGCGAGCTTTAAATGGAACGTACATATAGTAAGTTTTGTGACATATGATAGATACATGTTTTACCTCACATATTTGGAATTCTTTTATTTAATGGTCTTTTTTATAAAATAAGCGAATAATGTCATAAATATAGTGAATATGCTCGGAAATATAGTTTTGCCTAATTATTCGTTGAAGTAAAAAGTTAGCGATTAATATTTATTTATTTTATAGTTGCTCCTTAGCGGTACAGCTGTCTAAAGTTAGGGAGAGTGTACTTATCATATCTACAGATCCGGCACACAACATTTCCGATGCCTTTGATCAAAAATTTAGCAAAATACCTACAAAAATAAAAGGTTTTGACAACTTGTTTGCGATGGAGGTTGATCCTAATGTTGGTATTACAGAATTACCGGAAGAATACTTTGACAGCGAAGCAGGTTTGCACTTAAAGTAATTTTATTTTTGTCCAATATTCGACGTTCTTGGATGAGAAGTTTCAATATGTATCGAAAAGTAATAACAAAACCTTTGTATCAGTATAAGCTTAAAACTAAAAAGCAAAATATTACTTGTGAAATATAGAATCATTGCTTTTATCTGTAAATTACAGAATAACATTGATTCTTCTTATTGGGAGATGTGTTGGAAATATATAACAAAAAAGATATTAGTAAGCATTTGCACAAAATTGTTTGGTACATAGAAAAATTTTGTCTGTCATACAAAAGTTTCAGGAGGAGAAGCAATGAGATTGAGCAAAAATGTTATGCAAGAAATTGTTGGCGCATTCCCTGGTATAGATGAGGCAATGAGTTATGCAGAAGTTATGAAGTAAATGAACACATACATATATTTTTTTATTTTTATATAAGATATTTAAAGATTGATCTTACTTTTATTAGTCTTTCCATTTATCCCCTTTATTCATCCACATATTTTCCTTCTCTTTGTTTTCTTTTTTCTTTTTTGTATACTTTCTCATTTGATTTATCCATCTATCATCTCACTATGTATATAAAATTAAACATGGTCACCTATAAACTTTATTATACTCTATTTCATTTATGTTCTTATAAGAATCTTTATCAGCTTGTATAAATTGACATTTAAATGGTAGTGCTGAATTTACATTTAAAAAAACCTATGTAGTTAATATTACATAGTATAATCTCTTGTGGTTTTTTATTAATGTTGGATTAATTATGTATCTTTAGGCTTGTGAAAGGAATGAATTTTTCAGTTGTGGTATTTGATACTGCACCTACTGGACATACTCTGAGATTACTATCTTTTCCACAAGTAGTTGAGAAAGGATTGGGGAAATTAATGCGTTTGAAGATGAAGATTAGTCCCTTCGTTACACAGGTTAGAAAATTATTTTAACTTTGATTAATCTAGATTTAGAAAGGTTGTTACCGCAGATGTTGATGAGTTTTGCTACAAATGTACTAGCGACAAATATCGATGCATTCGCAAAATACAATAAATTTTTTTTTCATTTCTCTATGTTTGCTTTGATTGGTTTGACTTTTATAGTGCCTGCAAAAAATTGGTCGAGTTTTTATATTAATATGATATAATGGCAATCACTATCATGATGTTTAACATGCTAATATAATACATAGAGTTAAGTTGAGGAATTTTTAAATTGACTTTAAATTATTCCTAAAATAAAATTTTTCATAAATTTTAATTATTCATAAAGTATAGTATAGCACAGAAAATGTTCGTTAAGCAATTTAAGAGATGAAAGAAAAGGACTTTATTTTATAGATAAGTTCATTGTTGGGAATGACAGATTTCAATGTGGATACATTCTCGAATAAAATGGAGGAAATGCTTGCTATTATTCGGCAAGTTAACGAACAATTCCGAAATCCTGATCAGACAACTTTTATATGTGTCTGCATTGCAGAATTTTTATCTCTCTACGAAACAGAACGACTTGTGCAAGAATTAACGAAATATGGTATTGATACCCACAACATTATAGTAAATCAATTGTTATTCCTGAAGGAGGGAGATGTCCCTTGTCGGCTTTGTCTTGCCAGACATAAAATACAAAATAAATATTTAGATCAGGTAATTAACAAAAAATACATATGATAAATGTATAATTGATGTTATCATAATTTATAATTTATAATTACAATGTAGACTATATATCTTATTTGTGTCATTTTTTTAAGGATAGCAAAACATGTTTCACACTTACAAAATGAAAGGAAAAGAGGAATTTCTTTTGAAATAAATTAAATACTTTTTCTTTTCAAGATAATGGATCTTTACGAAGAGTTCCACGTCACACGGCTTCCTTTATTGGAGAGAGAAGTGCGCGGCGTTGCGCAAGTCAGAGAATTTTCGGAAAATCTTGTTAAACCATACAAGCCTTAGCATTTCTGTAATTAATGTTTAATAACATAAATGGTAACATAATAATATACATTAAACTAAATTTGAAGTTTTATATATATTTGCGATCTCGAGCATTGTCCTCGAAACTTTGCACAAAAATATCTATGTCAAATTTATACCGCTCAATTAAGGCATTTATAATCGCACGTATTATTAATAAATTATTAATAAATTCAGTGTTACTTGGGCACGTATCATGTACTTTTAATGTTTAATTTGCTTATGTCGACTTGTGTCACTAAATGGAAAGCACTCCCTATGTTGAGGAATTGCACAACAGTACTAAACGCAACCAATAATTAGCTCGCTTTGTTTCGCTGAATGCTAAATAAAAAAGAAAGAAAAAAAAATGTATCGAATCATAATCGAACATGAGAGGAATAGTCGATCGTGATTGGTCAATTTCTTACAACCAACGTCATCAAAGCTTATTACATTTATGCCCGTTTCTACTATCAATTTAAATCTAATCGACTATTAACCCTTTCGCGGCGGAGTGCTCTGGAAAGAGTTGCGCTCTAAGCAGCCGATGCCAGATCGACCGCGCGGACAAAATACGCGAGTCGTTCCGAACGCAGTGTGTGGAGCTGATTTTGCTGGTCATTTCTCTAACGCGGCTGGCCGGCACGCCGATCAAACAATAATATTAATAATAATAACAATTTTAGTAATGTTTAGTAATGTTTAATCTTTAATAATCTTATATAATTTTTAACAATTTTTAATAATTTTCCTTTGTGTGGTACAATCTAAAGCAGGGTTCAATACATAAACCAACTTTACAGTCTTTACATTCAAATCGTGTTTCGGTTCGCTTTTTGTGTTTTCTGCAAACCACACATTTCCGCCGACCGTTCTGCCGTTTTCCTGTGGGATTGATATATTTGGATGGAAAATGTGTTGGAACCAAACGTAACAGATTATCTTTGGACGCAGTTTGGCCTCCAGACTTATTGTTACATATATTTTTATTTGAATATTTAAGTAGAATTTCTCGAATGAGACGTAAATGAAATTTCGCAAATGTTATATTCTTTTTGGACGTAATTTTGTAAAGTATGAAAGTATTGTAAATCGAAAGGTGCACCATATGGAAAAATAATTTCTTATACCATTTTAGAGTTTTACGAATGGTATTAATGGAATTCAAAATCATATCCGTTTTATCGACTGCTCCCATAACCCGATTATAGTCTACTACGACAGTTGGTTTTAGAATTAGTCTTCCCGTTTTAACATCATTTCTTTTTGTTTCTGTATATTCAGCAGAATGATAACTTGATAACATTAGCACTTCTCTTTTGTCCATCCATTTTAGTGCTAATAATTTATCCGTAGATTGAAATGCAACTTCGCCTTTGCATAATTTATTGGATATATTAGGCATTCCACGTCTGGTTTTCTTCACGGTTCCAAATGCATGTGTCCTATTGTGATGTAAGAGAGAAAATAATGCCGGGCTTGAATACCAGTTATCGGTGACCAAAACATGACCCTTATTTAGATACGGTTCCATCAACGTCATGACAATATTTCCTGATTTTCCAATTTCTGCTAAATTATTGTTAGTTATATCCGTGCGCGCTCCACAATAGACAATAAAATCTTGAATATATCCAGTATAACAGTCACAAATAACATTGATGCCAAATCTGCTTCGTTTCGAAGGTATATACTGCTTGAAGAAACATCGTCCTTTGAAAAGCAGCAAGCTTTCGTCGATGCATAAATACTTGTACGGGTAAAATGCTCGTGAAAAAGAATTTCGCAGTCTGTCGATGATGCTCCGAATTTTTATTAGCACGTCTTGATTTGTTGTTTCATTATTATCATGAAAATGCAGCATTTGTAATAGAGATTTATACCTGTCTTTTGTCATTATTCTTGGAAAACTTTCCGTTCGTAATAACTCGTCGGTTGACCAATATTCTTCTATTGATACTTTTTTTACTCTTGACATTAACATCGACAGAGCAAAAAATCGATACATTTCGGTAACTGTTGTATTTTTCCATGCCAACAATCGTGAGTGCCTACTGCTTATAGTTTTCATGGTATAATAAGCATTGCTTTCTCTTACAATATGTTCAACCATATTTTCCGAAATGAAAAGCTGAAAGATTTCTAATATTGACGATTTATCGTCAATATTTGCTTTAATTCCTGGTAGGTTTTCATCAAAATCGAAAACTTTTGGAGCCAAATTTTGTGCGCTCCAAAGAAATTGCCGCGGATCGATGTCTGGCAATTCCTCAATGTTTTCAGAATCAGATTCCGAACTACTTGACAGTAGGCGGCGCTTTTTATTATATTCATTTGGAATTCTACCTTTGTATCCAATTTCTCCAAACATTTCAGACAGGTCAGAATCCGATGAAAATTGCATATCATCCCCAAGTTCCATATCATCGTAGCTCACATTTGTCGTCCATTTGTCCATGATTAGGGCAAAATTTGTGGATAATTATATTTGACTATGTAAAAAAAACCTTTGCACAAGAAGCGTATGCTGCTAGCACGTCAAAAACAACTTAATGGACATTAATGGCAGTTGTTGATAACAAACGAACAGCGCCTTCGTACAAAGAGAGCGGCTCCGGATGGGCGCCATTTGGCACTGTTCGTTCGCCGCGGGTAAATTTGCCTGAGCGCCGAACGGCGCTGTTCGCTGAGAATGAGCATCTATAGCTGAGCGCCTAAAGGCGCTGTTCGCCGCGAAAGGGTTAATTCCAAAAAATTGACATCAATTGCATTGGCGAACTAGCCGAACTAATCAATGCGATTGATCAATTCCGTCGTGTTAATCGTCGAGTTGGTGCAAGTCATATTGCAGATCCGAGCTAACGGCTGCGTTCGATCGGAAAAAATCGTGTTCTGAATTCCCGGTTGAACGTCTAAGAGCACACACCAATCAGATTCGCGAATTTCACACACGACAGTTTTGTAAAGCCGCCGCTTTCTCCGCTGAACGCAGCCAATCTCTCTCTCTCTCTCTCTCTCTCTGCGGTATAGCGCGTGCGCCTATGTGTGCGTGGCGATTGTGCGCGTGCGACGACACAACCAGTCACAGTGCGAACCTTTCCATTTACCGATGATGTTCCCTTACTTCTTTTGACGGGATCAATCAAAATGGTGGCTGCTGCATAACGCGGGTGATGTGTGGACAGACGTCGGCGGCTCGCATGTTGTGATCCCATCTCGAGGTAACACGAGAAACACGAGTACTGCAGCTATTACGCAAAACTGACAGCAACATGGGAGACCCGAAGAGCCAGCACGGCGCACAGGAGATGAAAGGCTGGCTTTTCAAATGGACGAATTACCTGAAAGGTTACCAACGGCGATGGTTCGTCCTGTCAAACGGCCTTCTGTCGTATTACAGGTAGTTCCCTACGTGTCATCAGAACCTTAACCACCATTTAACTCTCTCTCTCTTACCTTCTTCCCCCCCCCCCCTCTTCCTATCATTCTTTTTCTCGTGTCGTTCAACACACGGTGTAAAGATGGATCTAGACGAGGTGAACGAGCACGATCGAACATCTGCGAACGAGTCCGAAACATGAGTACAGGACAAGTGTGTTCTTTTTAATGTGCCGATACAAGATCGAACACTTTCGAACTGATGTTTGTTCCCGGTGTGCTCGAGACACCGTCCGCACGTTTTTCGGACTCGTTCGCTCGGTCCGGATCCACCTTGACGCGTTTACTTGCATTCTCTACGTGAGAATTCTGCAAAACCGTCAATCTGTCAAGATCGTCCTGCTGGAATCGCTCGCACGATTTGACGGGTCGACCATCGCTTTCTCAGTGAACGTCGGGCGAGAGAAAATATTTTGATGTCGTGAATAAACGCAATATGAAATACTGCTCCTAGTCGTCGTGTCGTGATTTAGGTTATGTACTTGCTGACTACTTCGATCATTCCGAAATAGCCTGGCAACAATTGTTATTTAGCTTTCGGATCATATGTATCTGAAGTGTCATCTCTATGGTAAAATGTGTACGCATTGTCATGTCATCCGAACAACGTGAAAAATGCCTCTGTTATTGGTTACTTGCGAACAATACACTCTAATTGTTATTAATTCAAACATAATACTTGGCGGAATCTACCAGGCCGATCTTGCAGATTGCTACAGTTGACGCGTTAAAAAGGCGTAAACACAAACGGATGTAGTGAGCCGTGTTCTCGCTTCTAATTCGTATAACACGTTTATCGGACAAACGCTGAGAACAGTTCCTTAGTTGTCCATTTCTGAGAGAATTTAATTAACTGTATAATTTATAATATGGAGAGCTTGCTGTAGATGATGCATCAGTGACGATATTAAATAAAAATTTCACTAAACTTGAATCTCTTATTTTCAGATGATATTATTTGAGGCTTCCGTTCCCTCACTCCGCAACTGTCCTTGTTTGATACAAGAAGCAAAGAAACACATGCCAAAAATTTTTGCGTTATATGTTCAAATAAAAAAAAGTACACTCACAAAATAACATCTGTAATTGATTCAGTACATTTAATGAAATTGTTGAACAGTTTCTTTTCTCTCGAGCGATTAATAAATAGTCGAGAAATTAATTTGACATGGCATCTTCCTTTCTAGTCTCTTCTATGATTTTGTCAATGTTAATTATACGTCTATTTATTGATTATATTAGTAAAAGTGTTCAAACAATTTTACTAATGTGCTGAATTGACCAAAATTGTTATTTTACGAGTATATCTTTTTATTTGAACGTATAACGCAAGAAATTTTGGCATGCATCTTCTCGCTTCTGACGTCATTAAATAAAGACAGTCATAGCGAGTAGTCAAGAACTTTAATTTATTTTATCTATGCACAAGATATAGTAACATAAAATTAGCTATACTTTCTCTCTCCCTTTCTCTTTCTTTCTTTCTGTCTGTTTACTTTGAGCCACTATTGGAATTCTATTAACTTGCAATTTCATATGAATTCGTAGTATCTCGAGATTATAAGAGATAATTTGCAGGGAACATTGAAGTATTATGTAAAAGCATGACTAGATTCTTCTTAGATGATTAAACTACAGTGCATACCCTCTTACATATACATAGAATGCATTGTAAAATGAAGGATTTAGTAGTAAGAATCTTTATTTTGGCGTTCTCTCTTTCTCTCTCTCTCTCTCTCTCTCTCTCCACCTCTTTCTTCTCTTTTTTATATTAATCTTGCGAAATTTCTTAATTGAATTATTTTGCGCTTCCTTATATTTCGCAGCGAAATTCTGTAATCACAACCCATACAGCAGAGATGTCCAAAATCATAGAAATATCCTACAGATATCGCGATATCTTTAGGATATCCCTGTATGATGCATTTTGGACACTTCCGTGTGGGAACTATAATTAGGTCTGTTTGTTTTCGCTGCACCGCTGAACTAGTGCAATAAGTTGAAGCGAGATAAGTATATGTTTCCTCACTTCAACTTATTGCACTAGTTCAGCGGTGCAGCGTAAACGAACAGACCTATAGTTTTTCGAATTTTTTACGATTTTCGTGTGTTTTGTTGTAGGAATTTTCATTGAAATTAACAGTGGTATGACATACAAACATTACGACACAAGCGCAAATAATGGTAATATTTAAGTATCGTTATCTTTGGAATAGAGCAGTCGTAATCCCCGACAAATAATTACGCACCGGCTTTTACAGAATTTTTCGTTTAATATTCCGCTTGGCACAGTTTTTGTGTGATTTGAGTTTGCAATGCGTCTTCAAAAAAATTGTCCTGGAATGTATTCATGAACTCTCGTTGTACGATTAAGTAATTCTCAATTGTCTGTCGTGAGGCTTTTCGCACAAAACAAGACACGCGTGCACGCAAATTACGCAAATTAATTGCGTTAAACAGTCAAGTGAACTTCTCGTATATTACTGTTCTTATTTTTTTTTTCTTAACCTGCGAATTTGGAGTAACTTAAAAAATGCTATTTTTATACCATCTCGCGGTAGTTAAAATAAAAAAAAGAGAAAATGAGAAAAAAACATAATTCCGAGCAATAAGTCTTGCCCATGTGTTGCACAATGTGAACGGGGTCTATTTGTTTTATGGATTGTTTAGGGCTGAACCAACAGGGGGGCCAAAGATATCAACACGACGCAAGCGGAGGGCTGGCAGAGCCTCCGAGTAAGTAAAAAAAAACAAAAAAAGAAAAGTTCGAAATCGCCAAAATTCCCCGACTCTCCTTTCAGCAAATCTTTGTAATTAAAAAATAAACAGCTGAGGACTTTCGGAGTTTTCATCTATCATTGTTTAATACTTTATTATTCGTTTTTATATATACACACGCGTACATACACACACACACACACACATACACATACACACACGCACAATATATATAGCCATTTATGCTCTTCATGTTCACATGCAATTTTGATTTGTCAATATCCTTTATATAATTTCATTCGCTTTCTCTACCTGCCTATAACGTGTGAGCGACATATTACATTTATAATACGTGTATGTTGTCTGGAAATTAAATATCCCTATCGTATGCTAAACATGCCAAACGTTACACCTGTATTCTTCATTTTTTTCTTTCTTTTTCTCTTTCTGTATATATTTTTGTATGTATAGCCGCGCGTGCAGTAAACTATGTCGCTTTTTTGTGTTACACAATCTGCCAGTTTTGAGCTCGCCCTTTGTTCAAGTTTCTGTTTCGTCACACCTTTGTTTACTTAGGGTGACTGCGTTCCGAAATATGTTTGTCAGCAGCAGGATAACTAGGATCTACTTTCGTTAAAAAGGCGGTACGTTTTACTAATTTACAGCATGATGACGATTTTGAGACGCAAAAACAACACTGTCAGTACTGTTGGCACATTTCGGAACGCAGTTTTTTTTTAGTAGCTTCATGCAGTGTACTGATCAGACTGACGAAGCTACCATTAGCCTGTCTGCAATAGACAGTTTTATTTTTTCCTTCAGACGAACGTCTAAAAATTGTACCAACCGCAGACGTGCTAATATTCGTGAAATAATAACATTCTTGACGTTTTCTCTTCCCGAATGAATCGAAAAAATTGTAATCAATATTAAGCGATAGCTTTTTTCGTTTACGTGAACAACGCGTCACTTCTGGCTGAAGTGAAGTCTGCCCTGGGGGGGTTTGAAACGTGGAATGTTCCAGGCGTCACATCACCAAATGGATTGTGGCGCCATCTCATAAAAATTTACGAAACTTATCAAAAGATGTATTAGCACTTTGATAAGAAAATAATACGAAATTTCGATACTTTTTGTTAATGATACGATACGATGTACACATTATCTCCAAAATATGTCATCAAATATTGGTAGTACATTCTACTCACTCCGATGATGATAAATCGTTAACATATTGATTACCACGAGGATGACCAACCATCTCGATTTTTGTCTTTCATTAGAGGCTCGTTTTAAAGCTGAAGGATGGCGCTTTAAAACGACTACACGGTGGAAAAAAATTTTTAATTTGAATAAATACTATGGTTATGATTAAATGTAGAGGCTGAGAATTAAGTTGTAATAACTATCACAGTGACAATAGAAAACTTGATTCCTGATATATTCAAAAAATATGCTATTTCAAAACGTGCTATTTTAATATGCTAATTAACTATATTTATCATTCTAAACTCGCAAAAAATCTATGCAAGTTAACTAACGTAAGTGGCGCGTAATAGAGCAGAGAATTCTTTTCGCACCCCAGCTACAATACAACGTGTATTTGACAGTCAATATGTTAAGCTCGTAGGTTCGGAAACGGAAAATGAAAGACTGCTCTACTTTTGCACACTTCATATTTGAGTGAATGAAACGCGCTGTCAAGGTTTGGCGACCCGTTTTGGGAACATGTTGTACACAATTCCGATCATGAGTGAGTAAAATGAACCGTCAAGGTTTGGCGATCCGTTTTGGCAGCATTTGTGTATGATCTCGATCATGTTAGCATGAGCGTTCTTCCTCTTCCACGTGGGATCGTGAGACTGTTGGGTGTCCGATTAACCCTGAGCGACCTCACGTGCATGATCCGATATTGAGAGGAAGGCTCTCTTCCTCCGTTCCGTGAGTTGTCTCATACGACGGAGTAACTCCTACGACGAATTGATGTCTCTCTCTCTCTCTTTCTCTCTCTCTCTCTCTCTCTCTTCAGCCGCGAGATACGTTCATTCAGACATGAGGTGCAGAGAAGCCGGATCGTTGCGGGATGGTAACGGGATCGAGCTTCTGGCCGAGAAAGACTGTATCCCTGTATAATTACACTAACACACTCATACTTTTTTAATTCTCTTAACCGCCGTTCCTACCTTCCGCCCTCCTTGTCAATGGCGAGCCATGTCACGTCATGTACGGTGTCACAGATTAACGCAGACAATCATTCTTCCACATTGGTGTATCAAAGTTGGGAAGGCGCTTGGATAAAAAAAAAACCCTCTGTTCACAAGTCGTACGGATTAATGAATATAATCATCGAATTTCTCCCGGTTGCAAACTCACGTCTGTCTTTCTCTGTGTCATTCGGCATTCTTCGGCGATCGAGGAGTACGTTTTTCCTGTCGATTGTCGCGTCTCCGTTTCTCTGTTCGCAGAAATCCCGCGGAGATGTCCCACACCTGCCGCGGCACGATCTCCTTACATGGGGCCTTAATACATACAGTGGACGCTTGCACTTTCGTCGTCAGCAACGGCGGCACCCAAACCTTCCACATCAAAGCGGCGACCGAGGTGGAGCGACAGCAGTGGGTAACAGCTCTCGAGCTCGCTAAAGCCAAGGCTATCAAAGCGATGGAATCTGGTTTGTATGATTGTTGACCGCTTGACTTTACACGACTTCCTGCAAACTCAATTACGCACATCGTCAAGCGTTAAGTGATTACACACACGTGCGCGGTGTTTGTTATATGTTAGGTCTGTATTTTAGGTCTGATTTTTGAGACTTTTACAACAGTTAAAGCAGAGGGTTTTAGAGAAAGCATTTTATCTTTTTCACGCAAATTTGCGGTCTAAAAGAGATCGAAGTCGTTTCTAGTTTTCGTAAAAATTTCGAAATCGTCATTTTGAATTTTTGAAACAGCATCGTAAGATTTAGTTTCGTAATATTGTCAGAGACATTGAGACGAATTCTCCACGCATTACCGGAAATATCACTTTTATCCGTAAGAACAAAAAAGACTGAAATGAAAACTTTGTAAACAATTAGCGCAACATCGACACGACGTATAAATATGCCTGTGCAGTTATATAACTGCTAAAGTATTGTATTTATTTCTCTTATATTTTTCTTTATTGGTATTTTGACGAAATTACACGATAAAATTCCTTTTAGAAGAAGAGGAAGAGGAATACCAGGATAACGATAATCAAAAAGCGGAAACTGCGTCTGTGATTAAAGATCTAACACGGCGATTGGATGATTTACAAGCGTGCAATGACTTGATATTTAAACAAGGAACTATGCTGCAACGAGCTTTAAACGATTTGGAAACGCTTGAGCCTCCGTCCCCTGAATTAGCGGCGAAAATCAAGACCGTCAGTGAACGAGCCACACTTTTTCGAATTGCGGCAAACGCTATGATTAGTGTAAGTCCGGACGGTAATTTCTATAAAATTGGAAAAAAACTCGTTGCGAATTTTTTTAATTTGGAACGACGTTGGATAATACCGATATTCGATATACGAAATTTTTAACATATTTTAGAAAAAAAAAACGATATAAAGAAAACTTAACAAAAGCGCTGAAGGATTCTTTTTGAATTGTGGCACCAAATGGCATAAATATTGTTAGTTGCAAAACTCGTTAAAAAACTCAATATTTTCGTGATGTTTACTTTTGCTTAGTAAAGCAAAATTAATGGAATCGAAAAGTATCTTTGTATATCTTTATATATTTTGTATCTCATCGTATAGGATGAGATACAAAGTATATGATTCAACGGATGATTCATCTTTACGAGGGTTCATATCTCTTTGATGAACGTCAGTAATTAATCTCTTTTTATTGCCAAGATTGATGAAAGGTCACGTAAAGATTTACAAGATTCGTAGAACGGAACTCGCTCTTTAAATAAAATTGTTTGAAATTTCATTTTCCACTATATCTGTATGATCTCTGAGATACTTCGAAAGTATGGATCGAATATGTTATTGCAGACGAGCAGCGATTATTTACAATTAGCCCAACAACAGGAGCCTAAGTGGAAGAAGATGCTGCAGCACGAGCGGGACCAGAAGGAGCGGATAGAGAAGATGGTCGAGCAGCTAGCCAGGCAACATTCACACTTGGAGGAAGCAGCGCAACACGCGATTCCTTCAGCGACGCCCGCGGGAGGGCACAGACCTTCACGTAAATAAACTTATATTTTTTATACACAGTCTTTCACTGCTTGTTCTCTATCATCATGTCCATTTGTGAATTTTGCTTTTAGTTTTTTCTTCTCTCCTTTGTCTGCATATTGCGTTACCATGTTCTTCAACACGTTGTTTGCCGCGTTGATGTGCGTTGATTGATTACAAAAATTTAACTGACGATTGAAGACACGATAAATAAATATAATTTGAAACGTGTATCTTTCATCTCGTTTCATCGACTCTTTTGACGGTATAATCAATTTTTCAAACTCAATCAACTGTATTCTTCATACGTAACTTAATGAATCGCAATAACTGTGTGGTGATCATCGCGACATTCAACGTGTTAATAAATATGTATAATATGGTTCTCTCACCAACTTTTTTTTTTAATTTGGATATATTTGAGAATAACCACAAAAATAAGAGATGCGTATTTTCTTAATAAGTGCTTTCCTACGTTTAAGAGTTGAGGCAACCTCCTCCCACCAATGCTAATTCTATATGCTTGATTATAAGCTAATATAATATATCCGTGTGTCCGGGCCACGTTAGTGTGCGAAGTGGCGGCTGTTGATTGAAAGTTGAAGAGCGATTCCCCGGACGATGAGCCGTCAGACAAGAAAAGAAAGTCACACACGAGTCTTAGACGAAGACCAGACGTATGACGAGTAATCCGGATGCGGAACTAAAAAATTCTGTTGATTAATTCAGAAGCGTTGTGATCTCTTATTAAACGTTAAGGTTTCTTTAACGCGTGTGTTCATTTTTATCTTTGGACACAAGTGAACGTAACAATATTTTTTTGAAACCTTAAAACACAGGAAAATATTTCGAGTACAAATTTTTGGAAATTAATAATTTAAACCTTGTATAACTGTGCGTTTCTGAATTTTTCAAAAATAACATTTTATAAGTCTATCATCGTTCATTAAAAACAAAATGAATTTCCCTGCAAAGCACTCAAACAAACTACTTTATTATTTTTGGAAGGATTTTTCCCAAGTTTTCCTGGGTAAATAAGCTTTCTTTCATGAATGTATGGACTTTCAAAACGATAATTGCATAGCTTTTTAAAAGTGTCCATTCACGATGGCCAAAATTGGCCATTTTCAGATTCCCTCCTTTCAAATGGGCGTCAAAAGTCGCTAGACAACATGGCGGCTCTTCTCTCCCCTAAAATCTTTACCTCTCGCGCTCGCGTCAGATGGTTCCGTCGGGATATTTATACGTCCATGACTGAAAATCTATAATTCATGTTGAATCTTGAGCTCTCTCTGGCCGATATTTATAGGTTGCGGTCCGATTCATGCTTGCAGCGCTATAAGCGTCATTCTATCTCTCTTTGACACGTAACGAACAATGAAGATAGAATGACGCTTACAGTGCCGTGTAGTCATAGTTGGATTTTACTTTTAAAACCGTCTTGAGTTCATCTTCAGATATTTCGTAGCTAATGAAATAAGCCGTACAGCATATGAGGATAAGATTAACTTAGGACGGTTTGAGATATAAGATCCTGTTACGAATACCGGCTTCTGGTACAACGTACGTTTTGTTGACTAAACATTCGAATTTTAGCGCTTTTTCAACAAGTTGCACGTGTTCGTGCTAGATGGCAGCATCCGTTAGATATCGTGGTGTTGCACGTATGCCTCGGCTTCGTTCATGATCTATGCATTACCTACGTAAGATCGCTGTATACGAAGTTAAGCTTACATTCACGTCATACTTATATATATATATATATATATATATGTATACACATATATAATGGTATAATAACGCATATACATTATATAGTATACATATAGTATACATATATATATATGACGTGTGGCGTGTATATATATATATGTATGTATGTACCTGTATATCACGAGTGCGTGTGCTTACGTTTCTGTCGAACGCTTAACTGCTCCGCTTTCATCGAAAATCTTATATATTCGATCCTTCCTTTTGGACGTTTTTACCCTCGAAATTCGATTTTCGAATTCCAACGTGTAACCGTTTCGAATCGATCCAACGTTTTCGAAGGCAACAGGACAGGATTGCGACAAAGATGTCAAAACAATAATTGGACGGGTCTAAAGAAGGTAGAGTGTTGTCGGGTGTTTCATAACTTCGCAGTTTGTCGTCGAATGTTCGTGAAAATACAACACACAGAAAACTGGGGCGAACCGTCGTCCGAAATCTCGGGATTTGTGTTCGTGCAATGTGCAATGGTCAAGGAAAAAAGTGCAATCGTCACTGTACGCGACATCCTCCGTCCGTCGTCCTCCCCCTTAAAAATGAATCTGTTTTTATCTGCTTCGTGTTACCGCTTCTCGCACTGTGAGGTGAAACAATTCTATATTCTCAAATTCGGAGAGTGAGAGGGAGAGAGAGAGAGAGAGAGAGAGAGAGAGAGAGGGGAAGAAAAGAGAGAAAAATTGTTGGAAGGTGCACAAGAGTGCAGTTGAACATCCGATATCGTCGTAGGCATTTTTCTATAATCTTACAACCTTTTGTTTTTCCCCCCCCCCCCCTATAATCTTACAACCTTTTATTTTTTCCTTTCTCAATTCGATAAAGTGGAGTGCGGAAGTGTGTAGTGGGATTCGTGGGGGCACGTTGTTTGCTCGAAATTGTGAGAAAAAAAAATCGACGCGCATCAAGAGAGAGAGAGAGAGAGCTCTCCCCAAAACAGTATAATTAATTTACAAGCAGTAGCATGGGTGGTCTTTTTGTGAGCTCGCGGACTATATATCGATTCTTTGTTAACGATACGATCTCGAGCACTGCTGGAGCACGGACAATCGCGTGACGGTAACGTGTGTGCGTATTGTCAGTCCAATTTACACGTTCTTTTGTGCGTGCCTCTTCCTCCTCCTCCTCTTCCTCCTCACCTTGATTTATCGAAGACGATCCATTTTCGCCCCTAACTTCCTTCGAATCTCATTGATTCCCGTTTGATAAATACCTGATACGCGATCAGATGACCTCCGTGCGACGTGTCCGTGTTGCGACTTCGTTCAGCTTCCTGTCCGTCGTCTTCTTCCCCGGCTCGAATTCGCATACGACGCGAATATCGTCGCAACACTTCCCAACGACAAATGGAGAACTTTGACATTATAGATCCAGCAGTGACAACATCGCCGTCGGAAGACGAGGAAGATAATGCGGAGTTTTATGATGCCCAAGAATTGGACACCTTTACATTAACTATATCCGGAGTGGCCACAAACAATTCGATTTCTCACACGAGAGATCGTACTGATTCGCAAGGTAGCGACGATGGTTCTAGCTCAGAAGGGGATCCAACACCCTTGCCCGTCTCTGATTCCACTGGTGCCGACTCGTTTCTCATCGTGACCGATTCCACAGCGGCACAGCCTCCCTTATCCGTTACGAACACAGACGATCTGGATAATGTGAGTGAACTATACAAATGTACTTGATAATCCACTATTTTAGATATTTGAAATGGGATGTAGACATCTTTGCTATGTATGACAGATCACTTGGCAGACCAACAATGGCAGCGGCGGCACCGGGGTAACCACTGTTTCCAAGAGAAAGCGAAGGACCAGGGTACCTGATAAACCAAATTATCCCTTAAACTTATGGAGTATCATGAAGAATTGTATCGGCAAAGATTTGTCAAAAATTCCTATGCCGGTTAATTTTTCTGAACCACTCAGTATGCTCCAACGATTGACGGAGGACTATGAATATGCGGATATTTTGGATAGGTATACTTTGTATTGAAAAATATCAAACCGTTGCATTTTTATTATCTTATCAGGAGACAATTTATGTATTCATTTACTAACTTTCCTTCAAATATATGTAGGGCTGCGGAGTGTGCAGATAGCTATGAACAAATGGCTTACGTAGCTGCGTTCACTATATCTAGTTACTCCACAACCGCTGCTAGAACAGGAAAACCTTTCAATCCTCTATTGGGTGAAACATACGAATGCGATCGTACGGACGATCTTGGATGGCGTGCAATTTCGGAACAAGTGTCCCATCATCCGCCTATGCTGGCTCAACATTGTGAGGGACAGAAGTGGCGATGTTGGCAGGAATTTACAATGGCTTCTAAATTTCGTGGAAAATATTTACAGGTGCGTTATCTTTTCATTTATTGTGGAACGATATATTTTTCTTCCTAATCTTCTTTCTGATCTACTGATAACAAAATGCTCACCTTTGTACATACTCTTGAAAAGATTTCAGAGAAATCTAATATTATTTCTCCGGGAAGATTGAAATCGTTGAGAAGAATGAACAAAACGTTTTTTTTTAAACATTTTTTAGCGAAAGAAATGATTTTTAACAAAATTTAACAAAATAAAATAAAGGCTATTATAGTTATTATTTTTTTTTTAAACAGACATAAATTCCTTATCTGTTCTTGCAACCACATTCATATTTAACTTAAGCTGAAGAATCGAGAAGGGGATTTTTGGTACGAAAAGAAATAACTTTTTCCTTTATCGAAATTGCGTTCGAACAATATTATCTGAGAAACAAGTGATTGGAAAAATGAGAATTTCGTCAACTGAGTTTCGGACGGGCGCTATTTTGACGTCTGAGAGGTCAACTTTTTCGTCACCCTTTCTTCTGCCAAGAAACAGTTTACTATTTCACTTGATTCACAGCTGATTAGTGCTGTGTATACGAATGCTCACGTGTGTCCTGAGAATCGAATCATTTTTATCAGGTAATTCCTCTGGGTACTGCTCACTTAGAATTCGACAGTGGCCTGCAACACTATACATGGCGTAAAGTTACTACTACCGTACATAATATTATAGTCGGGAAATTATGGGTCGATCAGAGCGGCGATATGGATATTGTGAATCATAAAGAGGGTATCAAGTGCCATTTGAAGTACATACCATACTCGTACTTCTCACGAGACAGTCAGCGTAAAGTGAAGGGGGTGGTTATGAATTCCAACAAGGAGGTTAAATGGGTGGTGCAGGGTACTTGGGACGCGAAGATAGAAATTGCCCCGGTAATTAGTACGTCCGGTACATCGGATAATCCAGTTTACAAAACGGGCCCCTACATACTGGCTTGGAAACGACGTATGCCTCTGTAAGTGTATACAAAGTTTATATAATACATTGTATTTTGTAATTTTAAATACTTTCATTTAACGTTTCCACAGCGAAGACTGCGAGAAATATTATTCGTTCACGGAACTGGCGTGTCAACTGAACGAGCCGGAAGAGTGTATGGCTCCGACAGACTCTCGTTTAAGGCCCGATCAACGGCTGATGGAGGATGGACGGTGGGACGAGGCTAATGCGGAGAAATTACGTTTAGAGGAGAAGCAAAGAGCCGTTAGACGAGCACGCGAACACGACGCTGAGAAAGCTACCGCACAAGGTACGTTCCAAAGTACGAAAGACCATCGCGTTATAAAGCGTTGCAAAACTAGTTAAATTCACCCGAGACTCTTCGTCTTCCCCACAGGATTCTCGTACGAGCAGTATGAGCCGTTGTGGTTCAAGAAGAAGCAGGATCCGTACACGGACAGTCGTTGTTACGTATTTAACGGCGAATATTGGGATTGTAAAAGTAAAGGTGATTGGTCGCGATGTCCGAACATATTTTAGTTTATTATTATAAATATATTCTATTATACAATGTGACTCGTCACACGTACATGCAGTGCGGGAAGTTTTGGATTGTTTAAGAAAAAAAAAGGGACGATAAACGGATGTTAGAAATTGTGATCGCTACTCAAAGAGATCGAAACTTATAAAATAATGTTGACGTGATAGTTGGGGTTGTTATGGGATATGGTTTAGCGATTAATTAATTCTTCCAATTAGGTGGATGAAGTTTGGCACTCGGACATGTACAATGTACAATTTGTACACCTGTGTCACTTTTCTTTCGTTACTCTTTGGCCCTCTTATATCTCCCCCCTTTTATTTTCTTGCTGTTTCGCAGCGTCTTTGATCCTTTTATTTTTGAAAGAAATAGAAATATATCACACTAATTATTAAGGCTCCTGATTATTTCGCTACAACTGTCCTTGTTTGGAACCTTCCTTTCTAACCTCTTTTATCACGATTTTGTCAATGTATATTTTACGACTGTTCATTGATTGTTCTAGTAAGAGAAAATTATTCGGACAATTTTACAAGTGTGCCGAATCGATTGCGAATATCATTTGTGGGTATATCTTTTTATTTGGACGTGTAACGCGAGAATTCTTGGCGTACGTTTTCTCGCTTCTAACGTCATCAAACAAGGTCGGTTGCAACGTAGTAGGCCAGGAGGCTCAAGGATCTAATTTAACGTCTAATGAATCTATGCTGTGGTGTTGATTTCCCTTTTTTTTTTTCTTTAATTTTGCGGAAGTAATGCGATAGTTATTNTGTATGTATAAATATGTGAGAAATTGACATTTAAGCAAACCATGAGTCGGATGTAAGTTGCGAATATTTTATTACTCCAGCCTAAAAAACTGATAGATAGCAATAAGATTTGATCACGAAGGAAGAACATAAAGGGCTACACTCTTATCATCATTATTGAAAGTCGGTCAGATTCATGTTCCACTTTACAACAATATTTATTCAGTATTCTTTCTCTAGATTTGCTTTTAGACAAATACAAGTTTGATTTTCTAAAAACTAATTCAAATTTGAGTTCCTTCTATAAAATTAATCTCTTACCAGTATACATACATACATATATACATGCATACGGTGTGTATACGCGCGCGCGCAGAAAAAATTTGTACATTTTGTTCGTTTATCGCTGAAAATATTTACGTAAACGAAGAAATACGCAGTGAGGAATAAAATTGAATTCTTAAGACGAATTATTCATAATAATAAATCAAAATGTAGCCGTTTTTATACATAATTATACATGAAATTGTTACATAATTTATAGTCTTTTTCACAGTATTTTTTTTCTCTTTTAGAAATAAGAGAACATGCTTTTTTATAATAATCGAAAGATTTAGTTGCGCGACACATGTGAACGCGTGGTTTCTCAGCTTTGCTATAATTTTTCTCCTCATTGTGCATTTCAAAAGTGGAGATGAATTCCGACAGTATTGCGTGAAAATTCAAGGAAGAATATATGTACAGAGCTACGTGTGTTCAAAGGTTTAATCGATGATTTGGAATATATACGTGCGAAACGTCGACCATATTCACTGATAGTTCGTATAATGTAAATTAAAGACGATAATGCTTCCATGTTTGGCCAGTGTTCTCGCAAGAAAGCCACGCCACTTCACGGCTCGCATTTTCAGCTCACTAAATACATAGATACACTTCGAGCACTTGCTCGAGTCGTAATACAAAATAGTACCGCGATGTTATTGCCAGAAGAAATCGATGAAAGCAGGCGCTCGAGTACGATTTGAAGGCTCCTAAGTGCTGCTCCGCCCGATCGAGATATCAATATCAAAATCGGGTTTCGAGCGTTCACGACTTTTTAAAATTACACTGTATAGCATAGAGATACACTCACAACACATAGGCACGCGCGATTTAAAGCGAATGTCTGCGTATGTACGTATGTTTGTATGTACGTGCGTGCGTGCGTGCGTGCGTGCGTGCGTGCGTGCGTCAATATGTATATATATATAATGATTAATGAAATTAATGAAAAATTTTATTGTATATCTCTTATAAACTCGTGACGTTTATTAGATATTCATCTATGTACACGAGTGTTTTTGGACGATAATTTGAGCAGAATGGCTAGCTTGCAGCCAATATATATATAAATGCACACTTATATTTATATGAATCAGTATGATATACAAGGTGATCCATACATTTATGTCCATATTTTAGAAGGTGAATCTATGCACTAAAATAAATAAAAAAACATCAAATGAACATATGTCCTACATACTTTAGTTTTCGAGTTATGATTAAAGAAAATGTTCGAAACATAGGAAAAAGTTCAGCATGTTATCTGAGGAATCATTCGTCAAATGTTCCTTATTTATTTAGTGTATAAATTTACCTCCTGAAATATGACCATGCATGAATTACCTTGCATACATATATGCATACATATACAGGATAGGGCGTTTAAATTGAGACATTTTAATATAACAAAAATAAAGCAAAATAGAAATGTTTCAGAGAAAAGTTGTAGAGTTTAGGTGCATGGGTAGAGGAGATATATTTTGGTGACCTTAACTTCGTCGTATTATGTGTTAAAGATGTCTCCCTGCAAACTTTTGTCGGAAATATTTCTTTTCATTTTGCTTTATTTTTGTTATATTAAGGTGTCTCAATTTAAATGCCCTACCCTATATATATCGATTCATATAAATATAAGTGTGTATGTGTGTGTATATATATACATACACACACATACACATATAAAACATATTTATATGAAAGCTTCCGGCTGTATTTCTAATAGTTTATAGTAACCGAAATTGGTATTATATGCGTGTATATATATATATATATGTGTATATGTATATATATATATATACGCGCGCGCGCGCGCGCGCGTGTGTGTGTGTGTGTGTAGGGTATTCCACATGAGGAGATCATCTAAATATCTTCCTTTTTAATGACATAAGAAATGTATTTAGAGTACAATTTGATAATGATTTTAAAGGAGGAATATTGTGGAAAGAAAATTTTTTTACGGCCACTTTTTTCAATTGTTTTTAAAATGCTCATATATAGGTGTTCTCCTTATGCTGCGATACCCTGTATATAATAAACACAACACATCTGTATACATATATAAATATAAATTAATTACAAAATAAATAATTTAAGAAGACGCAAATCGGATGTGAGTCAGGTAGTAAAGCTGTCTTCGGATTACTAGCGCTTGTAAATTAGCTGATTCCTTTGCGGGAGAAAAAAACAAAAATATAATATGCTTCGGTACAAAAGGGATATTTTATTTTGCAGCGTTCATGCGATTGCCTTTGCGACGTGTCCTAATTAACCATCTATCGTCGAATACATAAAAGGCCGTAATCGGGCCGTAAAATGGGAAGGTAAAAGTATTATTTTCCTGCTTAAATGGCCTTAGTTACTCTCAGAATTTGCAAAAAAAAAACACTTAATCATCATTTTGATGTATATAAGAGGTTACTCTCTGTCACCTATTCTGTTGAGAATCAGTCGCTATTTCACTTTTAGTGTACCTGTGATTGGGTGGCAGCCCTGAATCAACGATAACAAGTTAAATACGATTTAAACGTAGTAATAATGTAAAGCTAATGGGATCTAATGGAAATTTAAAGAATCTAATGGGATGTTTTATCGACAATCTCAACCGACTTTTCGATATAAAATTCCATGATCCTGCGCGTGAGTCAGTCTTTCTACTATCAATTCTTTAAATCTACTCGAGTCTGGTCCGAAATAATTTTTATTCCACAGCTACATTCTTACATGATGAGTGAACGTTCCGGCATTTCATATCTTAATTCAAATTCCACTTTTTGGGCTGACGAAACAAAGTCATGAAATACCAAAGCGTTTACTCAACTCACGTAAAATCACTTAAAGATATAACAGAAAAATAAAAATGATTTCACGTAGATCCGAACGAAAAACAGCAGAGTTGATTTTTCCTTAAATTACATGTAATAATCATTTTTGCGTATTTGCGAGGAAAACGAATCGCACAGGGATTGATATCTCGGACAAAATCCTCAAATTTTTCGAAACCGAAGCTGCCGACGGAACGATGTGGAAAAACACCTATCACATCCATCAGATTTTCCTCGTATCTGATTCGTCGGTCTCGGGCAATAATTCCGTTTTCAAACCGCGACGTTTCGCGCAGCAAGAACGAACGAATCGAAGGGAAGAAAACGGAGGTTATATACTATCGATAAAGAGACGATGAGGCGCGTTATCTATCATGGATTGTCGCAGGAATTTGCACCCTCACAGCGTAATAGACTGACTCGTTGGAGCACAAGTCATGTTATGTTCATCGTCGAGGCGGAGAAAATACATCCGTCCGACCGACATGCCGGTTCGGGTGAAACATGCGCACGTCGCCGTCGGGCTGGCAGCGGCGGCGGCGGTGGCGATCGGATGACGTCACAGGCGTAGTAATACACGGGCGCGAACGCATGGCGAGAGAGCCGAGAGAGCTCACCCGCAGAACTGCTGCGCGAGAGAGACTGGGAACTGCTTTCGATTGTTGGCGGGCGCCGCCATCTTGGTCAGTGAGCTCGCGAGTGGCTGATACGTTTCGGAGGTGAAGAAGAAGAAGAGCGGTGCCTTCGTGTTCGTATTTCGGGCGACCGCAAGCCAGGCCGACGTGTCGTATTCCGTGCACGCGTTTTCCCCCGCGAACGAGCGTTCCTCCTCGACAATTCTGAGACCGGTGAAATCCGCGAGCATCCGAGATGTCCGAGCGTGAGGACAACGTATATAAGGCGAAACTGGCCGAGCAAGCGGAGCGCTATGACGGTGAGTGGGTATTTTCTCAATGGGGGCGAGAACGGGCGAGCGCCCGACCGACCGGTCGTTCATGCGTGCGTGGCTGCGGGACACGCACGATGGTGAGATTCCGCACGCGTGTGTGTGTGTACTACGCGTTAACTGGAGACACGCACAGCCTCTCTTGCGCGAGACCGACCGATCGATCGGCGATCGGCCTCGCATCTTGCTGTCTCTCTCTGTTCGCCGTCGTCCCGTCGGGACGGGGCTCCTTTTGCGGTAACTTTTTTCGACGTGAAGGTTTACGCCTCACGTCGCGTACTTGTCAATTAGGCTACACACCGTGAGTGAGAGGGCCGAAACGTCAAGCGCCGAACATTAGCGAGCGTTCGCCGGCGGGCGTTCCTTTGTGGCGGCGCTAAACGAAATCGCGATATCGACTCGTGTCATTCGCAGGCGGTTGATTCGTCGTCGAAGGCGGCGACACGAGGCTCAGCCGGGCCTCTCGTTCGCGCGATCTTCGTCTGCGGCTTGCCTTCTCGTTCGGGTGTGTCGCATGACGTTTCTAGGATCCGTGTTTTCGGCTGCGAGCATCGTTCCTTGTCCGCCTCGTCACCGAGATAAGCGACAAGCCACTCTTTCATCGGACGGCTCTGGCGTGACGCATCGAGCCCGACTTTTTCCGCGACTCGATTTTCTCTCCTCCTCCCTTCCACCGAATTCCACCCTTTTTCGTTTTCTCTTCCCTTCCAAATACCTCGATATTATATTTATCTCTGCGCGATACCCCGATACTCTCCCACTCATTAGGGCTATACTTATTTCAGTTCCGACTCCGGTGCAGAAAGTGTAACGTAGTGCAGTTAGAAAGAACAGACCTGTAGGTGTACGCACACGGCGTGGCGGCACCGAGCTCTCTCGCCTTTTCGCTAATCGCCACCGGCTTATTATCACGGACGAGAGCTGGCACCACGTATACTAACGTTATTACGTGCTTAACTCTTCATCCGTCTGGTCTTACGTATTTGCAGAAAAAAAAAGATCACCGAACAGATCGGTCGGCTGAAAAAGATCCCGCAAATGGAAAAGAAAGAAGCGAACCGAACGATGATTCCCTTTTCAAGCTCCATCCCGGCTTCCTCCCCCTCAAATCGTGTCCAAAGGTTGTTCCAGTAAACCATGGGGACTGTTTCGAATGTACGATCGTGGACAAGGATCTTCCCTGTGAATATCATGGACTAACCTACATCCTCTCATAAAATTCGCTCTGAATTTCTTGCATATTTTTTTTCTTCACTACAAGATCTATTGACGTGACGTTTCGAAAATGTCGGACGTCACGCAGCAAACGCTGGACCTCACGAATCGTAAATCGGTTTTTGCGCAACTTTTGGAGAGCAACTTCCAACGGCAGCTTCCAACGGAGCTTTCTTTCTCTCTTTCCTCCTTCTCCTCCTCCTCTCGGCAGCGTTTCTCTCGACGCTGCGACGTGTGCATCGAAATGCTTCGACGCGTCGATCGACCTCTCTCTCTCTCTCTCTCTCTCTCTCTCTCTGTCGTTCATCTTACGATATCGACGACGGTGCGAAGATACCGCCGATTATCGGACGTCGTGGGCGTTCGTATCGATTGCTACATGGAGAAAGAGAGAAAGAGAGAAAGAGAGAGAGAGCGCACTTGTTGTTTATTGTGCGTTATTTTCAGTAATAAAAGTACATCCGATTCGCGATCTTCCGCTACCGCTTCGTGAAAGCAACGTGTGCTCATGCAAGTGGGGAGAAACGATCGGGCCGGCAAAGAGGGACTGCGGGGGGAGAAAGGCGAAGGGGGAGTAGGATCGGACCGGGAGGGGTGGGTGGGGGTGTGGGGAAGGGAGAGGCGGTCAAATTTCTCTAGCCTACGCCGCGTGCGTTTCGGTGCACGTTTCTTCGTGTACGTCTTTTTTTGCGGGACGATCTTGTAGGACTACGACACATTTCCTCGCCCTGACGATTCTTCTTACCCTCTCCATTCTCCGCTCTTCCGTCTCTCTCTCTCTCTCTTTTTCTCTTACGTGCGTGAGAATACGTTTGTTCACCTATGATTTGCGAACAACGTATTGCATCTGTTTGACAGCGATGCACATTGGCAGAGATAAGTGGCGGGCGGAAGCTTATTCGTCGAGACGCGAGTATAATTAAACGTTGTACAATTAAACATTCAACGTTGTCGAGAATTCTAATAATAACGGTGATAAAAGAACAATGCGAATGTATTTACACGTATCTTTGTGCAATGAAATATAGACATATTATATATTTCGCGCACAATTAATGAAAGCAATGCGTTAATCGAGTGTTAAACGAGTTTTTACTTTTTTTTTCTTTTTTGTAAAATCGTTCGTAAATTCACTTTTTATTTTAGAAACTGGTATAATTAGTCAACGCTTTATTTTAAATACAATGCCACTTTCAATCAGATTGAACGTCCGATGTAATTGTCGTCGTCGATGAATTTCAGTATCACCAAATAGATCTGATTGAAGAATCTTATTTTCTTTTTCAACGTTTAATTTTTGATAATTAAATTCTGGGTTTCCGGTAACGAACAACTCGCATGTTAAAAGTTGTATAAATACAAAAATTCTCAGTACTGCAGCTCAAGGAAGAATCCTTTAAAAAAAATTTCCAGATACAATCACCGTTTTACTAAGAAGAAAAATTTTGAAGCAAAGGAAAATTAAACGCGTGTCTTTTTTCAAATACAACATTACGGACATAATTTTTCCCCGTAAGCACTTCCGACAAACAAGGCATGTAGGTTATGAGAAAAACGAAAGAGAGGGAATGAGAGAGAAAGAGAAAGCTAAAAAGAATGCTAAATTCGTGATTAGAATCGAGAGAGCAAGATCTAGCTAATTAACGCAGATCATTGATCCGTTATCTTTTCCGCTAAGTCTATACTACGCCTTTTGTGATGCAATGCAAACCCGAGAATTTGGCCGATATTAGTTAACGAGATTTCACACCAATCGACGTGAGTACAAAACTTAGCAGAGGCGTTGTAATAATAAGACTATCTTTTGTACAAGAAGAGTGAGGGGCAACGGTCGAATTTGATAGCTAAAATAATGTACGTGTACGCACGCGTGTGTGTATGAGAGAGAGAAAGAGAGAGAAGCGAAAGGGTGAGTTCTGTGAAGGAACGGCCAGAGGGTGAGTAAAGGGATGAGAGAAGGTTGGCGGGAGGAAGAGGACAGAATGGGAGAGAGAGGGGTGGTTAGCAGAAGGAAAGTATTGATCTGGCTGCTATCCCACGTTTGCCGCACACCTCGACTTGTATATATTACCGTGTTCATTGTAACGCTCGCTTTACGTCACATTCATCACCCCCCGTCCCCTTTGAACTTACGGCTACATACGCGGATGTACATCTAGTTGCGTGCGACGCATCGCATCGATCCGTGTAATCGATTTACGCGTGTTTCCCTTCCTCCCCACATTTTTATCCTTATTATGTGTCTCCGCGTTCCAAGAGTATCTTTTCTGTGTTTTCTCTTCCCCTCTCTCGCGCCTCCTCTCCTTCTCCCCACACCTCTTCCTCTCCAGTTTCTTCAAGAGCACGATGTACATTTGTTCCGTTTTTCAAGAGCACGAAGTGCAGGAGTACGCACAATAATTGCTGGAGGGCGGGCGGTTTCTTAAGTTCGAAAAACAAAATACATATTTCGAATAAGAATATCAACTTGAAGACGCAATTCTGTATAATTATTTTATATTTTTTGATTTATAGTCATATCGCGAACATCGTGATTTTCTCATATTATCTCACTTTTCTTAATGACGATCTTATGTGTTTTGACGTACATGTCGAGTTGCGGAATTTAAAGGAAGATTCTCTATTTCTAGTTATAATAATTTCTATATTTTTTTTATTCCTTTCTTTTTCATCTCATACTTGCGTTTTCTTTAAGATTGCTTCTTTGTAACATTCTTTAATCTCAATAAACCAGTTAACTTTAGTTTTCCATAATCTTTAAGTTTAAACGCTCAAGTAATTTTTTTAAATGATTCATTTAGTGAGGAACACTTCTCTATTGAATATGGTCCATTTTCTGAACTCACTTTTATCGATAAAAATGCCTGTGAAAGTGGCATAGGAACCATTTAAGCCGCCATAGAAGCCGCATTTAAGGCACTTTTACCAATAAAAATGAGTTCAGAATATGGACCTCTGTATCTCTAGTATGAAATACACGATTAAGAGATAGTTGGTCGGTTCTCTCAGAATCGGAAAACATATTTCTCGAGAAAAGTTCAAATTAATAGTCGCTTTTCAGCGATATGTCGCTCACACGTACCGATAAATACGTATTGGTAACTTCCGTGCAAAGTTCAAGGGGCAGCGGATTAATATATGTCGGTATGTTCATCCCCCTTTACTCCGAAGGAACTCGGTGCATACCGTTTCACCCGAAGAGCACGTAATATTTTATAGGCCAAACGTTCATACGCCACTTAAACGAACAGGTTCACGATGGTGGTATTCATTTTGTACACGGAGTGATTTGCGAGGAATACTTCAACAAAACACAACTTTGTAGAATAATCATAGTAGTTAAGAGGTGATGGGGGGGGGGGGAAGAATGCAGCTCTTGTGGAAAACTTACAGTATAAAATTATAATCAGTCTAGAGAGGATATTATGTTACATTTTTTCGTGATGATTCGACGAGTTCCAAGGTGATTATTTCAATAATTTTATCACTTAACATAGAGTCATCATAAATATGATGGACAGGTGAAAACATTATATATTGTTTGTCGATGTCGTTTGCAGAAATGGTGGAAGCGATGAAGAAGGTGGCTTCACTGGACGTAGAGCTCACCGTCGAAGAAAGGAACCTGCTCTCGGTTGCGTACAAAAATGTCATCGGTGCGAGAAGAGCTTCCTGGCGAATAATCTCGAGCATTGAGCAGAAGGAAGAGAACAAGGGCGCTGAGGGAAAACTAGAGATGATCCGCCAATATCGATCTCAAGTCGAGAAGGAGCTCAAGGATATTTGCGCCGATATCCTTGGCGTCCTGGACAAGCATCTGATACCGTGTGCCTCCACAGGCGAATCCAAAGTCTTCTATTATAAAATGTGAGGATATTATAATAACGATAACCTTTTATCAACGAGAAAAACTTTTAGCATGCATTATTATGCATAGAGTAAATATCGCAGATAGACAGAAATTAAAAAGGACAGAAAATTCAATATATAACACTTAGAAAAAAAGGAGAATTTATAAATAAAATATATATCAAGAATAATGATAAGTAGATAAACAATAATGATAATATGATATGAAGAATTAAATATACAAAGTAAGGCTTTTATAAAATTACGCTGGATTAAGCCGCTTGATTCGAGCATGATTGAAACGAAGGATGGCACAAAATGTATTGACTTGTTGTTTTGATCCTTTGCGCTTTCAGGAAAGGCGATTACCATCGTTACTTGGCAGAATTCGCTATCGGGAATGATAGGAAGGAAGCAGCGGAGAATTCTCTGGTGGCATACAAAGCAGCGAGCGATATCGCCATGACGGACTTGCCACCAACTCACCCTATTCGCCTAGGATTAGCGCTCAACTTTTCCGTGTTCTACTACGAGATCCTTAATAGTCCCGATAGAGCGTGCCGCTTAGCAAAGGCGGCCTTTGACGACGCGATCGCCGAGCTTGACACGCTGTCCGAAGAAAGCTACAAAGATTCCACCCTCATAATGCAACTCCTTAGGGACAACCTCACTCTATGGACATCGGATATGCAGGGAGACGGTTAGTATATTCAACTTCCATAGCGGGGGGATAATATAATGTCGCTATAGGGAGACGGATGTGTTTTTATTACGCTAGGACGCACGATATTGCACGACGCGCGCCGTCACATCATGCGCGTATCCGCACATGCCCGATCGATACATAAGCAAATATCACGCATTGTGTTAAGATGATTTTACCGCAAATTACTCTCTTCATCTCATGCAATTTACTTTGTTCACGCGATATGGTTCCTCCTTTTTTCTCCCAAAAACCTTCTAAAGACTTCCCAAAATTGATTTTTCCACCAAGAAATTTCGGGAAGTTTTATCGTCCGACTCAGTGTGGCATCGATTTGCACAATTTCAATTTTTTTAATTAATCCGATATAACAAATCGCTGAAAGTACGCGGCTTTTATAATGTACATTGGGTAAAAAGAAATCTTTCACAACTTTCTCCATTTTTCTTGGAAGAATTCCATGCCAGAAGTAAAAGTGCTCGCGTATAATATCCTGAGAGAGAATAGAATATGCAAATATTTCCCTTCGTTTGCTGCAAAAAGATATTTATTGTGAGCTTGGAATGTATGTTGATAGACGTTAATCACTAATAACTTGTTTGTATTTGTTGTACAGGTGAAGTTGAACCGAAGGAGCAATTGCAAGACGTAGAAGATCAGGACGTATCGTAACTTTAACTGTAGTGAGTGTTATCTTGCGCATATAAAACTGAGACACAAGAAAAAAACTCTTAATAACTCGTAAGCAAAAGAAAAAAAACAATTCAGCAGGTGGCAGTTCGGGATGGGAAGGGGAGATCTTTTAGAAATTCGCGTGACCTTTCAAGAGAAAAAAAAAAGAATAAATAAAACACGCACCGTTACGATTATTCTGAAAACAAAGCTGCAGCAACAACAATAACAACAACAGCCAACAGCAACAAAAAAAATAATCATTCGGTCGCATTACAAACACACCCTCATATATACATATATACACACACACACACACACACACACACAATTGAGTTAATACGAAGCAGAAAGTAACGAGTATAAAAAAAGAAAAAAAGGGACATACATCCTGCGGTAAATAGAGAGATTGTAAAGCATTTAAAAGAAAGAGAGGGAAAGAGAGAGGCACTTTTTAATTGCCCTCGTTTTTTGTGTATCAAGAGGAAATGCCGTCTTTGCACTGTGCATGCGTCCGATTAAAATTTATACCGACGTGTCGAATGAATATCGGAACGACGGATGACGTCGACCATCAATTAGCAGAGAGCCTCGAGAAATTCTAGTTACATTTCTGGATCACACCCACACATACACAATGTAGCGCGCGTAACGATTACGTTCTGGGGTCTAATATTTGATTTCCGCCACAATTTCAGTGAGCGAGAGTCACGCGCGTGCGCCCACACACACACACACACACACACATACACATCGCACGCGCGTTTCATATGTTCTTTGAAATAGATAAAAAAAAGGAGGCATGGATGATCGATGTCACCGAGACGCATTGTGTGTGTCGTCTATTCTCACACCTGTACCTGTTTCCGCTTACCTGTTCCTAATATCCCTCGATTCCCTTCTCTTCGTTGCACTCCCCCTGCTCCTTTAAACCTCGCTTTTTTACTGCGCGCATGGTCGTCTCGCATATACTGTAATCACTACCAATATTGGTGTATGCGTGTAAGTCGAGTTTAGAAAAGTTTGGTTCATTTCAAGATTAAAACACCGGCGTCTTTACGGGAATGCGCGGCTATACGCGACACCGTCATGCCACAGTTGCTAAGACGGACCTCGCTTTCGAGCTTGTATTCTGTAATAAAATACAATGTACTTCCGATGAAATCCGATTCGAATGTAACTACACACATACACATACACACACGCGCGTGTATGCGCATACATTCACACATAGACACACACACATACATTACCGACAGAGAGAAAAAAGAAGCAAAAAGTGAAAATGCATGAATTTTTAGTACTAGCCGAAGTATGAGAAAGAAAAAAAAAGGAATGTACCGCTTACTTCGATTACCCCCTTCTGTACCTCGTTGTAAACACACACACACACACACACACACACACACACACAAATATCATTCGTCCGAGTTTTCGTGAAAAAAGGGAAAAACAAAAGAGCCTGTGTCGCGCAAAAAGATCCTTGAGAAACGAGCGTATCGTTGAAATTTTTTCACGAAATGGCTCATGATTCAACATGTTATATACGCATCTCGTCGAGACGAGCGTTTTATATAGCATTATTGTATAGCTTGTGACGAGCATCGTGACAAGAAGGAAGAAAGAAAAAACGGAAAAGAAAGAACGAAAAATAGTAAGGAGGAAAGAGAGAGAAGTAAGAAAGAAACGAAAAGAAAAACAAAGGGAAAAAGATTACGTTAACGTAGGTGAGCCTCTTTTTAGCATTACGTTACTCACAGCAAAGCAAGTAATTATCTAGCTAGTCTGTAATGTGGTTGTACGTTTTCATACGCCCGTTGTGTAAACTAATATCGATTGCTGTGGTATAAGAAGTGACAGAATAAATGACTGTACCTCGACTTTTTCCACCCACGCGCGCACCACACACAAACGCGCGGGCGAGCGCACGCGCGCGCGCGCCCATATTTTATGTACGCGTACATACATTAGCGTGGTTCGCCAAAATTCGAATATAAAAACGTGCGCTGGTAAAAGTTCGCAGAGAGGCTCGATAACTAGCAACGAGCGCACGTAACTTGATTGATATTTCACGAGATCTACCACGATGTTTCTATACTCAAATTTTGGAACGTTGTATGTATGTATGCTCGTATACACGGCACACGCGCGCGCACGCACGCGCGCACTTCACATAAAACACACAACACAGGTATTGTCTTTTTCCATCCAGATACACGATAATCGATCCGTGTCTGTAATTATCCATCTGCCGCGATTCATCGACGAGCCATTCCATCAACGTTTCACGTTGAGACATTCCATTCTTCTTCTTGTAATAAGGAGTCTGTCGGAATCGTAGATTTACAGTGAAAAAAAAATATACTCTTTCTTCAAACTGACGAGGTAAGCTTAGCGTTTACGATTACTACTGACCATTTTACGCATTAAAACCTTATCAAACAAGTAACTATAGAGCTAGAATTACCAAAATCCATTACCAACAAGTTCGCTCAGTTTTCTCGCTGATAATAACGCGACGAGAGAAAGAAAGAGAGAGAGAGAGATTGCAGACGCCGGATATAAAGCGCAGCAAAAAAGCGAATAGTTCTACAATAACGATCCGGAGAGAGAGAGACATTACGGTTTGCAAGCTCTGCACGCTGTGAAAAAAAAAGAAATTGATGTCCATCGCGCCCTTGTATCTAGGTATTATAACGATTATAAAAAAAAAATTGATAATCGTGTTACAAAACGATACGTTATGAGGAATAAGTAATATCAATCGACATCCGTAAGAGATAAGTAAGTATATTTGCGAAATGTGTAATTGTAAGAGCGTAATAAGTAAGGTAAAAAAGACGAAGGAAAGAAAAAGAACAAAAAGAAAAGACCAATCTCTTGACGCGAAGGATCATCTTAGTGGGACAGGTAGGATCAACGTCATACGTACACGATGATCGAAGTTGATTATTAATCGAGAGGAGATTAAATTGCGCGAAAACTGTGCAGGTAAACAGAGCTCTAAATTAAGAACTGCGGAGCCAGAGCGGAAGCTATCATAGGCTATAAACGCACGTGCATATATAAATATATATATAAATAAATATATATATATATATATATATTTCATACTCTGAAATATACACATGTGTGTAGTGTATGTGTACTTGGCATATACATACCAATACACACACACACACACACACACAGGGTGTAACTAAAATAGATGGCCAAACTTTGGGAGTGTGTAGTCCATTAATTTTCACACGAAGCAATAACAATATTTCAACGGAAATGGTATGTACGAGAGTTTCGAAGTGTGTCCGCAAGTAGGAATTGAAGGGATTTAAATCGAGAGAATAGGGAGAATGCGATTCTATAGATTCACCGATCAGTGTAATTATTATTATTATTATTATTATTATTAGAAAATTCTATCGTAAAAGAATGTATTTATATCTCGGGGAGGAAAAGTTCCTCGTGTCTACGCCACCTTCTTTCAACCTTACGGCGAGTAGAAACATGATCTTGAAATCTACCTGTTTCAGTTTAACCATTTCTCAATTTAGCTATTTCAGTTACACACGCTGTATGCGTGCATGTGTATATTTCAAAGAGTACTTATTAAGTATTTGTGCGGCAACAAGTGTTTTAAGAAGAGAATTAAGTACGTAAACGCGTCAGTGGCAACGAATGAAAAATAGTGATCTCCGAACACCGATGAATTATACTAGACAGACGATTGATCTGATTACTTCATCCATAAGATGGACCGAAGATTATTTTTTAGATCGGTCGTTTTTAGAATTTTCCTTTAGACAACCTAAATCTCTGATTCTTCGTGAATCTCTTTGTTTAAAAGATTAAATATTGATATATTGAAAACAGTTGATATATTTAATTGCAGCTATACAAGCTATACAGCTGCAATTAAACGTGTCGACTGAAGCGTTACTGTCGTACTCGCTTCAAAATAGATTGCTTTTTGCTTCACGAGCAGTACGTGAAAAAATCAAGTTTTCCCATAATTTTTGATTCATTAAATCTAACTTTTTTTATAAAAAAAAATCAACATGTCAAAAAAACATTAAAATTGGATATAAAGGTAAAAGAAAATTATGGGAAAGCATGGCTTTTTCATGCGCCATTCGTGGGACGAGAAATAACTTTTTTAATATCCTTCTTTAAAATTTACGGACACTGTTGGAAAAATTGGCACATGCTATGTGTAATAATTCGCAGGCGTAGATTTTAGATGTCCATTTTCTCCCGTTGTGTTTTTGGACAATAAAATTAAAACAAAATTTAAACATCGATCGATTCGTCATCGGACGTCGATTCTTATTGCTTAAGAGATATAAATTTGTGCCGATCGAAGGATCAATTGGTCCACTGACCACCATGAACGAATAATAAAACAACTCATCGTTCTTCGGAGAAAGACTAATTTTTGCGTTTTTTCTTTGGATCCGCATGCGTTCTTATCGCTCTGTACTACAATCTCAATGCGGTTACATCGGATACAATCTTTTTTTCTGTAAAACCACAGACACATAAAAGCTACAAATAAAGTAATTATGAATCTATGCTAACTTTTATTAAAAATATTTCGACTCAAATTTTTGTCGGTTACAACGAAAAAAATGACTTGTCGCTTTTTGATATTTGATACGAAGGACTCAGAGCCCACGAGTCTAAACGCGTGTATCTTCCCAGACAGCACGGACCTCGGGAGATGTCCTGAGGACGTCCGATGTCACAGACAGAACGTCCATGGGATATCGTGCGTGCTGTTTGAGTTATATCCTGTTTTAATTTTAAAATATGTCTTATTGATTTTAATTTCTGAATTTAATATTGTCCCTGATTACGCAATCGCAGATTGCGACTGGCTGTGCTTCAGCGTTTCCAGCGACTGAGGCCGTGCATCGTCCTTAGTGAAGTCGTGATCACGAAAGCTAATCGATCCGGACAGAAGTCTTCTTGGCTCGCGTCGGCTTATATTCACCTGCTGCAGCAAGATTCGCTCCAGATTGTTCTCCGATTCAGTCGTGATCGGCGACAGGCTGAGAGTCGAGACGGTACGACTTTTCATGATTCGTCCGTTCCTAGGCGATCTCCCGGTCTGATCGTTGATTCTGCGCCTGGCAGATTTCAATTTGACATTACGCAGCATGTCCAGGGATACGACCGGTCCCTTCGGGCCCGGGACTATGTTCCGTCTGTTGTCCTGAAATGTAAAGAGTTCTTACACAGGGTGTCCCATTTTAACCGTCAAAATAGTACTCATTGCTAATGTACGATTGTTCCATTTTGCATATCATTACAGGGGCTCGATTCTTCACTGTCATTCGTAACTATTCGTATACACACGTATTGCACGCTTATTGAATATCGTTACGAATAACGTTCTAACAATGATTTTATATTCACTTGGGTTCAACCGTACCTTAACATTTTGCGGAGCCTTCTTCAGAGTGACTTTCAGGAGGTCGTCGACGGTGATACTGGGCCTGCTCAGCAACGGCGTGGAACATTTTCTCGTAGGTGTCACGCTACTCCTGTTGCTTCTGTAGTTATTGGGAGTTGTCGGTGGTACCGACGGCGCTGGAAATTGAAAAAAAATTGATTGGAGAGGAGTAGATGGAGCGGGAGGAGGAGGAGGAGGAGGAGGTGGTGGTGGTGGTGGTGGTGGTGGTGTGAATGATACCGATTCTGTAATGTATTTCGATGGAAATGCCAACGAGGGTGGCGGAGAAGAAGGCGGAACAGGAGGAAGAGGAGAGGACGGAAAACACGACGAAACACGTCGCGAGGATTTCAATCGGATTTCCTCCAGCGTCTCGTGTAATTTCTTCAGCTCCTGCACCAACGTTTGGTTGTTCTCGTTCATGTTTCTGTTGACTTCACGAAAGTTATCCATCCCGGTCGTTAGAGTACCGAGGACAGCTTCGATGCTCGTCCGTATCTGCAACGCAAGCCGAGGGATGACCGGTAAGAGAAATATTGTTTACTCAGCAGTGTTCATCAGATCTTATGTCTAATATCATATTGATTCCACTTGAAGATTACAGGCAGTTAATAAGACGGCTTTTATGGCATCTTAAGATGAATTAAAAAAGTCTTAAATATAAGAGACCGGGCTGTAGTTCATAAGACAACGAAGAAAAGGGTACAAGGATGTATGTATCTTAGTAGCGCATTTCATTGGCTCAATGTTACATACCTGCACAACCTCCATTGAAAGACGCGCGACTTTCTCCGATATTGCGCACAGTGCTTTTTCGTTTTCGGAACGTAACGTAACTATCATGCGGCCGAATTCTTTCATTTCAAGTGGACTCTGGCTCGAAATATCCTCGGAAGACGAGGAGAAAACGTCGATCAGCTGTCGCAGTCTCTTGTAACTCTGGAAAAGTTCATTATTGATCAGTGAAGTCGTTATTTCACGATCGTGGCTTAGCTCGTGACACAACTCTCACGGAAATATACATTGTTCAGTAAATGCAACAGCTTCTTAAACAGCCAAATGCAAAATACGGCCATTTTCCTTATCACCGTGCAGAAAATGTTTCTTCGTCTGAACGAGCGATCCCGCAACCTATGCGGTGTCGCGGTGTTTCGCAATATATGGCGCTTACAAGTATCATCCTGATATTTCACCTGTAAATGATTTCAAGAGACAGATGATCAACGTTTGGCCAACGTTGGACAATGGTGTTAGTTAACCAATATACAAACGCTCAGATAAAATTTACCGTTAAAAAGTTTAGTATTCTTTCTTTAGCAAAATAAACTCTAACAAGATAAAAACCAGTATTCCCACACCACTGGAAAACATGGAATGTAAAAAACATGGAAAGAATTTATATGAAAGAAAAAAGAATAGTTACAGTGTTCTCTCCTAAAGTTTTATTTCGGTTGAGAGTACAAATTCGCGCGAGAGAAATTTAAGTGAAATATTACTTCTCGTGGATAATCGCCGATATAATCGGACACGGCAGGCAGGTCGACGCTAGAGGTCAGTGTTGATTCCAGAAACGAGGAGCTGTCCCAGCGCGTTTTAACGCACGACAGTAAATTTGGCGGATACGAAGAGTGCCTCTTGTTCTCTCGTTGCGGCAGATTCGGATCGTCCGTCACATTCACACGAACCGCCGCCGGTTGTTGTCTCCGTTCTTCTTTCGCTTCATCGTCGTCCTCATCGTCGAATTTCAAAGTTGCGCGGCAACGATGAGCCGACGGTGACAATCCCCTGCAAGGTGTGACGGATCCCTGCCGACACTTCCCGATAAACATTAGATCAACATCTTGAAACGTTGGATTCGCGCGTATCTCTCTTAAGCGTTTTCGCTTAATGTATTTTTATCAATATCATCGGATATATATAATGATTACTTTTCAACGAGAGACACGAGTCATATCATCCATTATCATTTTCTTTCATCGATTGTGAATATCAGAACACACGTCGTGTGCTGTCGAGTATCACGAGATGATAACCTATCGGTGATGATTTTTGCTTACTAGATTTGGTTCGGTTTTCTTCGCTCTTGCCGGTGACTCGTCGGACTTCCATCTACGTACGTTCGCAAGTGCGGCCTGGTCGAAGCTCTTCTTCGCGCACCTCGGCGACAGCAAGGGCGCGCGAGACGAGACGAATGAGGGCGACGGCGATATTATCGAAACGCAATGGAATCTCCGATCTTCGTGGACAGATTTCTGCTTGGAGAACAAGGGCGCTTCGTATCTCGCTTCCTCGCCGCGTATCTTCCGGTTGAACCGCTGCTGCAGGTACGCGAAGACCCGTCGAAATTCGCGCCAATTCGCGGCTAAAGGCGACCTACCGTCTCTTTCGCTCGTCACGTCACGCCTTTTGTCCTCGTTATTCGATCTCTCGTTCGCATTATCCTCATACATCATCCTGTTATGTTCGTCAATGTTCTCGCTAATCGGCGACCTAAACCGCTCGAACTCGTCGAACGGCGACGATTGCGCGTCGTCGTTGCGATCAAACTCACAGCCGTGTCTGTCTTCTCGCAAACTCGGAAAGCCCGCCGGTTCCACGGTGTACTCGTTCGGCGATTCATCGACCGCTGTATCGAGCCGCGAGGTCGTCTCAATGATGGTACAGCAGCGGTTCGTCGTAACTGCCGATCTGAACTGTCGATCGTTCAGGCAATTTTTCATCTCTCTCCCTGCGAGATCGTCGTTCATCATCGTCGAAAGCGTATCGTTCGTTAAGCAACAACTGTCCGTTCGTTTAAGTCCGTAGCGATTTCCGTACACGACTTTCGCATCGTCCTCGTCGTCCGTCCTGGTAGCGTCCGGCTTTTTTATCTTGGAAAACTCAAGACTCGGCTGTTCGTGGCAGCACAGCAGCAGGTCTACTTGCTTCGCCGCTTCGAACAACGTCTTCGATCGCTCGAGCTTCCGCGTGACGATTTCTTCCACGTTCTCACATTCATCTTCCGGGTTTATTCGGGGGAGTTTTGGCACGATCTCGGGGCTGAGTTTCTCACGGCACAGCAACAGCAGGTCCGCTTGCGGCGACAGCACCGATTCCGGGGAACGACGTCGATGCGACGACAAGTCCGACGTGTTTCTCGCGTCCTCGTTCGCCGAAGGACCGGAGGAAGAAGATGAAGAGGAAGAGAAGGATTGCTGCGACATTCTTGTCGTGAAACGAGCGTTCCCTCGCAACGATTCCTGGATTTCACAGAACGAGGCCTCCCGTAGTTCACGCGTCGTCATCGCGTCGTCACACTATTATCTTCATATTGTGAGAATGTTTTCTATTCATTACACCGTTGCTGTACATAATGCAACATCGCCTACAAGCTATTAAATACCATGTTTTTTTTGCTTTCTAATTGCGTCGATAATATTACTGCAATTTTAACCGGACTTTGACATCGTTGCATTTATCATGCTGCACTTTCGCGCACACTCGCAGAAGCGAAGGAAAAACTGGTTGTTAACTTGAACGATCGAGATTCCTTTAGCATCATCCTGTATCTCAAGGTTACACGCCAGACTGTGTATATTTTGGTCTGTTTGATGTTTATATACAATTTTGATATATACAACTTTCCGTCATTCGCGCGCGCAAATCCACCGGCCGAATTCGTTATTTCGAGGATTCGCTTCTGCAAGTGATCTGAGATAACGTTTAAGCCGATTACATTATGACGTATAATAGGATATTTGGATATCGTGAGATATCCTATTGGAATATCCCGGACACCGGGATATCTGTGGGGTCGCATTTAAAAATCTGGGATAATTCAGGATATTCTCAGGTGTGCTGTGTGGGTATAATGCAATTTATAAATTTATAAATTTAATTTCAATTTGGAAGAGAAAGTCTAACCTTCGTTTCAGAAAAATAACATGGAAATCTAAATCAAATTAAAATTACGAACAATATGAACATTTTACACCAAGAAAAAAAAAGAATCATGCTTAGTCGAAAGGATGTTTATTGAAGTTTTCACTACCGTTATACAATATGTTTCTCAAAAAGAAATTTTAATTACAATTTACGATTTTATTATTTTGTTTATTTGTTATTTCATACACCCTATATTTCTATACTTGGCAGTTAATTTATTATTTATAATTATAATACAATGTAATTTATAATTTAACAAACTAGTTAAACATTTACATATATAAACTTGGTTCTCAGTACAATTGTAATAACGATTCGTCATTGAATCACAAGACGAGTCCAACCAAGGCCAATCGCGCACTCCCTTCTTGTGCAATTTCACCAGATCACGATTTATTTAATTTAGGTCCAATAGATTTCACTTTTTATTTACAATAGATTTCACTTTTTATTTACAAAGTCCTCTCCTTTTTGAATATTTTTCTTAAGCTCTGGAATAGCAGCGTCCAGCAGTTTGTGCTCGAAGCTGCTCAGTTTACCATACTGCAAATTCTTTTCCAATCCGTTTTTCTGAAATTCAACATGTTACCTTAATTCACATCCCTAAGATCATGTTAAGATTGTACATTTCGATATATTTATCTGTTAAGATTGAAATGAATCAACCTTTTTTACAACACACAATTTTAAAATAATTTTAAAATATTATTCAAAAATGTTGGGCGTGCTTTTTTTCGGTGTTTTTTCGTCATTAATCAAGGTGGCTGCAATGAGCAATAAACAAGAGACTTAATTTTTCAAAAAACACTAGTTTCAGAGAGGCAAAAATTATGCGAGCGATTAATGAATCACGCGATTAAATCACGGTGTTTGTTTCTCTACTTACGCCCAAGAGCACCGGCGTGGAGAAATATTTGGCGTCGGTGACGTTCGATCTGACGTAAGCGCACTCGATGATACCGGTCTCTCCGTTGAGCGCCCTGATCAACGAGATACCGAATCGCGCGCCGGCATAAGCCATCGACAAAGTCGCGGATCCGGTGCCGGCCTTGGCCTTGACAACTTCAGTGCCGGCCTCTTGGATCCTCACGGTGAGCGCCTTCAATTCATCATCTGGGAACGATACCGATGGTGTGCACTGCGATATCAGTGGGATAATCGTAATGCCGCTATGCCCGCCAATAACCGGAACGGATGTTTTCCGCGGATCCAAACCCTGAAAAAAAAAATCAGTTGTTTAATACTATCATAATCTTTCTTATATATTCGCTCTTAAATATATAAGCATATATTTTGTGAAGAAAAAAATTACTTCTTTCAAGAAACAAAGAAAACCCCTTCTTTAGTTCTGGATAAAATTAAATCTCCATTGAGTGAGGAAGACAATACTTCGTTTTCGTTATTTTAATGTATATCTTTAATGTCTCATTGCACTCAGGAATTCATTGTTACCTTTGCCTCTGCAATGAACGTATTTGCTCTGACGATATCCAGTGTGGTTACTCCAAAGACGCGATTGGGGTCGTAGACACCTTTCTTCTGCAGCACTTCGCTGGCGATTGGTACTGTGCTGTTGACAGGATTCGAGATTATCGCTACGCATGCTTTCGGCGCAACTTCTGCCATAGCAGTGACAAGATCCCGGACGATAGAGGCGTTCGTATTGAAGAGATCGTCGCGGGTCATGCCTGGTTTACGTGGAACACCAGCAGGTATGATGACAACCTGAAAAAAAGGCAATATAAGATTATTAATGAAATATTAAAGCAGAAATTAGATTTATCTGACACCAATTTAACAAGATGAATTAAACAGTGTAAGAAAATATATATTTTGATTAAAATACAGGTTGGGACACCCATATAAATATATATTTATATAAATATATCTTGAATAAATATTTATAATCTTTCTCGTAATAATTTCATAATGACACACCTGAACACCTTCAAGCGAACTCTTCAGCTGATCAGGACCATTGTAAGCTTTAACTTTTGCCGCTGTATCAATGTGCGACAGGTCGGCAGCAACACCAGGTGTGTTCACGATATCATACAGTGATAATTCGGTAATAAGAGGTGATTGCTTGAGGAGCAATGACAATGGCTGGCCAATGCCACCACTGGCTCCCATTACAGCGACCTTGGTATTACACTGTGAAAAGGGAAATATAATCAATGTATTAGCGTGACAGATAGAATAGGTAATAAAACAACTGCAATGCTTATGTTTCAATATTCAACACAAAATAAAAACTGTAATCAAGAGTATGAAAATCATAGTTCATTTTCATTACTTGTTGCTTCTTGTAGAGGCTTATGTTTAAATTTATTCAAATTATGCTAAGATCGGGAGACACTTATGTGCGAAAATGCCTTCATACGCCAATTTAACGTATCAGCATTGAGGCTGAGTAATTTATGATTGCATAATCGGGGCTCTAATCACGCTAGATATCGATGACGTGTCAAGCCAAATCATCCCACGTAATTGATTGGTGGCACAATTTATCTCTCTCGGACATATATGTCGGATACAGAGCAAGATTCATATAGCGATATTATCACACATGGTAAACCAGTTATGTTCATAGACCGATCTGCTCGTAACATACATGTAACGAAAAAACACAGTACAGAGTAAAACAACACGAGCTCATGCAAAGCGGTGGTTAACGAGCATATTCACGGTAATTCAATTTGCTTCCTTTGAACAACTGTTCGATTATATCTCAACTGATCGTTACTCCGAGATCCACATTTTACTGCGATACTCACTTTGGCACTGGTGGACAGTCGCCTCGCTCCTCGAGCAACGGTTGTGGCAGGCCTCAAAAACCAAGGTAGCATGATTTACCGGTAGCGATGAAAACGATGTCAAATTAATGTCTGCTGAAAAGATCTACAGGCTGAGAAAACGTCTTACACTCCTGATAACCTTCAAAGGCACTCGTATGACCTTCTTGAAGACTTATTCTCCGCTGCCAGCCAGGGTTGCCAGCATAGACATCACGTAGACTACACGGCACGTTAAACCGGTTTAGTAACAACCGTAGTTAGCCTTACGTGTGATTGGCCCGGTAGTTCACCAACGCGAACTAATTAAATCGGCCGATTAAGTGGGGTCTAAATGAGAATTTAAGCTCTAGGCGTTAAGAAATTGACCAATCACAATCGAATTATAGGAGAAAAGTCAATTATGATAGGTCGATTTTTTTAATCTTTTCGAGACGCGCCCTTTGTAACCAGTAAACCACCATCCTTCGCAACTGGCGACCGGGGCATCTGCGGCGCATTGTAGAATGCCCTTTAACCTCCCACCTCCTCATCGGGCGTCGCACTCTCCGTTGTATTTTGTACGGCCGAGTCAGTGCAAATGTACTTCCTGTTCGTTTGTAAGATTCATAAAATAATTTCCCATCCGTTTGCTCAGCTCGACGGGGTATCTTCGACGGCTCTTGTACAAGTTTCAGTACCATCTTTCCGAGAGCGAAACTTGGCACAGCAAAAATCAATCGAAGATAAATGTTTTCAATTAAAATAACCTACCTTACATATTTCTCGCTTTGTTGCACGCTATCGTGACACGACGCGGTGTCTGTCAGTCTGTCTGAAAAATTTTTTTACTGATCTGGAAATTGAACAGAATTCCAATCCAACTTTGTATAACATACATTAAGGAAAGGAAAGAAGGAGAAAGGAATATAGAGAGTGTTCAATTTCATTATTCGACCGTTTGTGACTAAAACAACTCGGTGAAATGTCTAGCGAAAGTGTAAAAACGGTAAGTATTGAATATGAAAAGAGGAATCAATTTATCTCTTTATAAAATAAATAACAGACTTTATTTATTTTGTCTATTATTTATATAGTATTTATTTTATAATATTCTGAAGTCTTTTAACAAGCATAGAAATTTGTAATTATTACATTTACTGTATTTTTTTTTGAGAAATTTTGTTTTTTTTAAGAAGAATTTTAGGACATATTTATAGCTTCTGTTAAAACAACCGTAATCATACTTTATTTAAATATGTCTTTTTTGTTTTTAGTTTGCCAGTCTTGAGACACCTGGATATGTAGGATTTGCAAATTTACCTAATCAGGTACATCGAAAATCTGTGAAAAAAGGTTTTGAGTTTACGCTCATGGTTGTTGGAGAATCAGGCCTTGGAAAGTCTACTTTAGTAAATAGTTTATTCCTTACGGATTTATATCCTGAACGAGTAATTCCTGATGCAATTGGTAAGCACAAATAAAAATATCTTTATTATTTTAGTATTTTTATTTTAAATGTGTAACATTATAAAGTATACATTCTAATTTTTATGAAGATAAGATATAATAATTATTCTGTGTATAATTATGATATTTTTATTATTAAATAGAAAAAACGAACCAAACTGTTAAACTTGACGCTTCAACGGTCGAGATTGAAGAAAGAGGTGTGAAACTCAGATTAACAGTTGTTGATACACCTGGTTATGGAGATGCGATTGATAATACAGATAGCTTCAGAGCTATCATTCAGTATATAGATGATCAGTTCGAGAGATTCCTTCGTGATGAAAGTGGTTTAAACAGAAGAAATATTGTAGACAACAGAATACATTGTTGTTTTTATTTCATCTCTCCATTTGGTCATGGGTACGAATTATTCTCACATATATGTAATTAAATTAATTGTTTATGATGAAAATTAATTATTTGTGAAACTTAAAAATTTCTAACATTTTAGTTAAAGTCACTTAATACAGTTAGTGTTTCTTTTCTTCCATTGGTGAACAGATTGAAACCATTAGATATTGAGTTTATGAAGCAACTCCATAATAAGGTTAATATAGTACCTGTAATAGCAAAAGCTGATGTACTTACCAAGAGAGAAGTGCTACGTCTGAAGAAAAGAGTTATGGAGGAGATCGAAGGCAGTGGAATCAAAATATATCCTTTACCAGACTGTGATAGCGACGAAGATGAGGATTATAAGGAACAAGTGCGTCAATTAAAAGAGGCTGTCCCTTTTGCAGTGTGCGGTGCGAATACCTTGCTCGAGGTCAAAGGAAAGAGAGTACGGGGTCGATTGTATCCGTGGGGTGTTGTTGAAGTTGAAAATCCCGATCATTGCGATTTTATTAAGTTGAGAACGATGTTGATGTAAGTTACTCTCGTTGTTATTATATATTGTTGTACAATGACATGTAATTGTACATAAATTTACTATATGTATCTATCCTTTTTTTTTTTTAGTACACATATGCAAGATTTGCAAGAAGTAACACAGGAGGTACATTACGAAAATTACCGCAGTGAAAGATTGGCGAAAGGGGCTCCGGTACCACCTCGACGTCAGACGTAAGTGTGCATCATTCCGTTTTATCAAAAATTCTGATTTTTAACGTAAACAAAAGGAAATTTACAACAGTCATCGATAGAGGCATGGCCAACATTTATTTGCACAATTTTCTCTCGAAAACGTATCATTTTTAAATATGCAACGTTACAGGACTTTTACTATTGGTTGTCTACTTGCTCGATCACTATATGTTTTTCTTCTATGTTGCATAGTAAATTTTACCATCTAAATTTTTTTTATGTAGTCTTGTAGAATCTGAGAAAAGCAACACTGTGTCGGACAAAGATCGTATATTGCAAGAAAAAGAAGCCGAGATACGTCATATGCAAGAATTGTTGGCTGTGATGCAAGCGCAAATGCAACAACAACAACCTTGATTACATGTGCTCTTGTATATCAACATGATGACCCCTTATTGTTATGCGTGTGCCAAAAAAAAGGATATACGAAACTTTTTAATAACATATATAATCAAGATCTTGCTCTGGATGCAATATTTTCATAAGTCTTTCTCTATTAAGACAATCTTGACATACCATATGCTGCATTCTGTAGACATATATCGTAAGAGTATAAAAACTAACACTTTTTTATACATTTTCTCGATGACCTATGAATTACTCATGTTTTACCACTTGAATGGCGCAATAGTGCGCGCTAGTGTCCGTCCCGTAAGTAGCACGCGCGCACTATTGTGCAATCTTGCATCGGAAAGAAAGAACTCGCCTCACTTCTTCGTTAAAAATGTATTACTGAATTTAATAAGTCACTAATTTTATGTCTTCGTTGTCGATAAATACGAATTTTATGTCAAAATAAATTTCAACTAATTTTCAATTATGCACTTACTATTTAATACGCACCTTTGTTTTATTAGATTTGCTTTTTCTACATTGATTTAGGAACTAAGATTGTTTTCATGATCTTATAGTCGGGAATTGAAGATTATTTAATTTTGACGTAAAATTTGTATTCCTCGATCATTGAAGACATAAAATTAATGATTCTTTAAATTCAGTAATACATTTTTGGTGAAGATGCAAGGCAAGTTTTTCCTGACACAAGAGTATGCAATAGTGCGTGACGCACTATTGCGCGCATGTCACTCAAATGGTTAAGGCTTTTGATCCTTCGCTGCGATTATCTTATTTCATTATTTCAGAAGCAAAGAAATATATGCCAAACATTTTCTTGCGAAAACATTGAGACAAAAGAATATGTTCATGAGATGACATTTGTGTGGTCGATTCAGCACATTTATAAATATTCCGAAAACTTTCCTCTTTTGTTCTGATAATCGATAAATAACTGTAAAATTAATATGATATGCAGTCTTCCCTATCTTTTTTTTCATGATTTTGCCACGTTAATTAATATTACAGTTGCTCATTGATTGTTAAAATAAAAGGAAAGTTTTTGGAATATTTTACAAATCATTTTATATCATTTTATATGCATATATTTTTATTTCAATATATTTCGCAAGATTTTGGGCATATATTTTCTTGCTTTCAACGTCATTAATCAAGATGGTTACAGCGAGGAAACAAGCCTTAAAAGTTTTCTATGCTTCTAATAGTCATTTTATATATAATATTATATCAGAAATCGTGAATAAATATACATTTTTAATTAGCTTTTGTAATTAATGCCTAAAATAAAAAAATATCATATCATAAATGCCTTATTAATTGATCCGTAAAACCATTTTTTAAGAAAAATTTCCTAACTTTTAAAGTTAAGTTAATGAATATTGATGGAAATACTATTTATGCACTTATAAAGTAAGGAAACAATTCGGAAACTAAAATATTCCTCTAAAGTCGACACTTTTTACACATATTTCTTGAGATTAATATCCTATTTTTAATTTCTCCTAAGCTACATTTAGAATTTTAGTGGTAACATATATTACAGAATTAATTCTTCGAGAAAGAATTTTCTTCATTGGACCATCGGTCGCGATCTGACATACGACATATTGTAGAACAGACTTAACGACTAAATCGCCGGTATATAGTCTGTTCTTTATAACTTTATCTCACTCTGACTTTTTGCGGCAGTTTCAGCACCGCTGCTATAAAGAACAGACCGATAGTTGTTTCGAGGCTGCTCTCTGGATTTACGGTTCGCGTGAAGGATGTTTTGATTCATAATTTTTATCAACCTTTGACATATGACTTGTAATTAATTTCAAATTTATTTAATACAAAGAATTTTTTCTTTTGAATTTGCAAACACTTTTATATAATTACGTTAATACGCGCACTAACAAATTATTTAATAAATATTTGGAAATCTGTGTATATATAGAGGTTATGCTCTTGTGTAAATAATGTTAAACATGTATTCTAATCATTTGAATACGACAATTTCACCTATAACCAAGAAAGAAAGAATATTTTTAACGGATGTGGAACTGGATGAAATCGCTATGTTCCTCGTTGGGAATCAGCAACATTTCAGAGAAAATATTATAATTCCTCGAATGATAGGACCTGTGCAAATAAAGACTAACGAGGAGAAGCAGATAGAAAGAGTAATGGAAAGTTGTGCATTTAAAAGCATCATGAGTTGTGTCCTTGGTATATATATTTATTGAGTTTCTCTGCATATACATAAACAATAGCATGGTATATTAATATATATGCATTAAAATTTTGTGCATTAACTGAATATAAAATTTTTAGGATATGGTTTAGGAGCAGCTATTGGACTATTCTCTTCTAGTGTAAATCCCAATGTAGCAAGTATCGAAAAGCAACAGAGCGCACGAGAAATATTAAGGGAAATGAAGACAACGACACTTGGTTATGCGAAAAATTTTGCAGTTGTCGGATGTATATTTTCTGCCATAGAATGCACAATAGAATCGGTAAAATTTAAATAACCAACTAATACATATATATATAGTCGTATATTAAAGATTCTATTTTCACATAATATATTCCCAGTAAACAGAATATAACTATTACATAACATAGAAATAACATGTAATATATAATTGTTACAAGTTATCGAGTTACAAGTTAAATGTTTAATTATATATTCCTTCCCATGTTATAAGTTGTGTCTTAAATTTTAGTACAGAGGTAAAACAGATTGGAAAAACGGCACATATGCTGGCGGTTTAACTGGTGGATTAATTGGTTTAAGAGGTACTGATAATTTTACTACATAAGTTATGTTTTTGAATTTTATACACTATTTATCTTAAATTTTTGCAGCTGGTATAAAAGCAGGTCTAATCGGAGCTGCAGGCTTTGCAACATTTTCGACAATTATAGACTATTACATGCATAGATCTTAAACACATTTCAAGCTGTTAGAAGATATAACTCATGTATATCGTGCATATATGTATGTACATATATAATTAGTGTAATTTTCATATATCTACATCATTTTTGTAAAAATATCTTAAATTTTTTTACAAAAAATTTTGAACAATCCATGAAATACGTCGCTTTAAAGCCAGAAGCATATCCTGAACGACCCGGACGAACGGCACTTACGTGCAGCTAGGCTGCGCTTTTCCTGATATGTACACTTTTTTTTACTTCACAGAAGAGGTGTTTCCTAACGAAATTCACTTCAACGTGTTCCTTGTTTTATCACGAAGGGAGGCGAAGACCCAGAATTTTGCTGTTAGGCCCTCGAAAACATAATTTACAACACTTGTACACATTTAAAACATAATTTCGACACTTGATCTGTTCTTTCTAGTTGAACTGGTGCGATAAGTTAGAGTGAGAGTGATATGTTTCTCTCCTAACTTGTTTCATCAGTTGAGCGGTGCAGCTAAAAAGAACAGACCAAATGTCAACTTTCACCTACACTTTGTCATCCCCTGAAGGGGTCTGTTTTCTATCCCTTGGCATCGGCTAACTTAATATAAAATTTTCTAATTGGTTCAGCGGGGAAAGACTCTAGGCCGATGTGAGCGGATGTGTATCATGTGCTAACGGGATCCTCCCCCAAGCGCGACGCGATATCCAATGAGCGTGCAGTTCTTCCGGAAAAGCAGCATGCTCATTTGATGTCGCGTATCGCATGTCGTGCATCGCGCTGGTCCCTGCGAGAGCCGTAAAACAGTCACACCAGGACTACATTCTCGAACGATATCCAACTATCGTAGATCCTGACTAAATTCTGCATGCACGGGATGGCCGTTCTGAGACTTCTTTCTGGATTATCGGATAGTTAAACTGTTCTGTATAACAGATTGAATTGTTACATTGTGTCATATTGTGCATCTCATACGCGGACACACACATACCACGAAGCGAGAGAAAGGCGCTACTCTTGATAAGCCGGGCGTGATCGCTGGAAACGTCAAACTTGCAAAAGCGAAATGTCGAGGAACGACGGTAAAAAGGATACTTCGGCGTCCGCATTTCGGAAGATTGACGTGGACCAATATAGCGACAACAATTTCAAGGAGGAAGACGCCGATGGTGGCGTAGGCGCACCCACTGGCCCGGACGAGAACGAAATTCTGACACTTCTTAGCCAATATCCTTTGCAAGAAACTCTCTATTTATCTTTGTCTTTTGAGAATTTCACTTCCGGTTTGTTGCTGTTTTCCTTAACGCCTTTTTCAAGGGTAAGAACGCGGAGGCATTGGTATCAGTATTAAAGTCCGCGCCTTTAGGATGTAAAAACCAGCAAGTCAAGGTAACCTAAAAACATGTCTCACGCGATAACGATTATCCTTATCGTTGAGTGACCGCAAGATTGTACAACCATGGTTTATTTAGTGCGAGTTGATGGTATAGATTCGTAAAAAAGTGGACATTATTTACATCTTTCTCAGTTAAATTGTTTTTACAGAGATGAATTTTCTTTTATATGGGAGATTGATTCTTTAATGTATAAATACTGAAATCTTTGTATAATGAGCCTTGTAGTCTATTAATGGAAACTATGATGTTACTTTGCACGATACTACACAAATTCTTCTACTTACAAGCTTGTAAAAATATATCTTATTTATTTTCAGGATAGTGCTAGAAACTTAACACAGAAAGTACTCCTAAGTATAAAATCGAATCAAATAGACGATTGTTTAGCGCAATTAGATCGTGACTCAGTGGATGTTCTAATGAAGTACATTTACCGAGGCTTCGAGATACCAACGGAAGGTAGCAGTAGCCACCTGTTAATTTGGCATGAAAAAGTGTTCAACATAAGCGGCGTTGGCTGTATCGTCCGTGTATTTTCTGACAGCAAGCGGGCTTGAAGTTTTGTACATTTTGTAGTAACACCTTCATTGTGACGATTACTATTAATTCCTCACTGTTACTCATTGTCATTGTTGATACGATGAGGATGTAGATAGGCGAACCATTCATATTTTCCATATGGGAAACCACCAATTTTCCATGGGAAAATACAACAAATTTGTGTACATTTGTTATTAATAAAGTAATTTTTATTTCTTATACACATTATGAGAAATAATTCCGTTTTCCACCACTGCCCTCATTTTGCTTTAAAGAGTATAAACAAGACAAAAATTTTAGAAAATTAAGAGAATGAAGATAATTTGTAAACTTTAATTTTTGCAACTTGATTATATATATATATATATATATATATATACACATGTATGTTTCATAGAGTGTATTATATATAAATTTGATTTCATTTCCAAACTAGTTGATCTTAATGTTTCACTTTAATTCTCAGACATTTTATACTCTTTAAAGCTATGTAAGAATAAAAAGAGAGTATATATATATGTACGATGTATTACTTTCATATAACAATAAAATTCTCTTTGCGTCGAAACATTTTCTTGTACATACTATCATTGATCTTTACAATGACAATTGACATCTGAATTGGCACAAAATAAAAGTATAAATAATTTTGAATGATACATACTCCAACATTATTTA